GGAGGCCCTTAGAAAAGGGTCCCAAGGGAAGAAAGCCCCCCCCCCCATGCAACCCTGCTGCCTTCCTTGCCCAGATTTAAAGCCAACCTGTGGATGTCCGAAGAGTTCCCGCTCTCCCTTGTGGAGCAGGTCTCCCCCATCGTGGACCTGATGGCCAGGACCAGCGCCCACTTTGCTCGGCTGAAGGACTTCATCACCTTGGACTTCCCTCCTGGGTTTCCGGTGAAAATCGGTATGGCCGCCTGGCTCTGCTTCCCAAAGCCAACCGAGTGGCAAGCAGGCCTGGGGCCACCGCTCCTCAGCCCTTCCTTTCTCCCCCCCACAGAAATCCCCCTGTTCCACATCCTGAACGCTAGGATCACCTTTGGACGTGTCAACAGCTGCAGCACCCTGGAAGAGGCTCCACCCCAGGGCCCCGAAGGCCTGCAGGGCGCCGCTGGTAGGGAGGTGCTCCGGGGGCTGGGCCGGGAGGGCTGCCAGCAGCCTTTGGGCAAGGAGGCAGATGGCAGCTACAGCCTGTTGGGATCCCCAAATGTGCTGGCAGCTGTCGTGATCAGAGCCCTCCTCCCTCCAGCTGCTCCGGCCTCCCCCTTTGTGGTGGACCCCTCCGTCTTCGAGATCCCCAAGTCCTACCGGGTCCAAGACGATGGGCGGAACCTGCACGTGCAGGACGAAGACAACGAAATCATGCAGTTTGCCATCCAGCAGAGCCTGATGGAGTCCGGCCACAGCCAGGTGGGCTTTGGTCCCTTCCTCCACAGGGCCAAGAGTGCGGCCCACCAGGCTGCCCCGCGGTCTCCCCATTGGGCCCAGGCAGCCACCTTGGGCTTCCTTTCAGAGCAAGGACCGCAGGCAGGTGGAGGGGCTGGACTTGGCCGCCTGGGGGGTGCTCTGAAGACGACCCCCGGAGGAGTGGGCCACCCCAGGGGTCAAAGCATTTGAAGCTGCAGGGAGGGTGGGAGGAGGAGCCCCCAGTCACCTCTGTGTCTTCCCAGGAGCCTCTGGGGCCACCTGTGAACGGGGACGTCTCCCACTCCCAGGACCTCCACCTGCGATATCAGAGGTAAAGGCCAGAGCCGGAGGAGGCTGGGGCCCTCGGGTTCTCCCTCCCTAGGGTTCCAGGGAGCGGGCTGCACCTCGGCCAGCAAGGGCACCCCAGGCTTCGGGGCGGGAGTGGAGCCGAGACCCTCCTCCCGGCTTCAGCCCGGCTTGCCCTCTTCCCCCTGCCGGCAGAGCCTCTTGGCAGCTGCCCCGGCTGGCTTTCGTCCTCTGAACACCCGTGTTGGGGAAAAGACCCTGCCCCTAAGCCTGAAAGCTGCCAGGCTTGGAGCCCCCTGCTCTGGCAGACCCCCGGCCAGGGGCATCCCATCCGGCCCGCCAGAAAGCGCTTCTCTCCTCCCGCACGCAGGGCCCTGCAGGAGAGCCTCCTGGCGAGCGGCGGGATCCACCCCGCTCTGCGCAGCTCTTCCACCTTCGACCAGGAGTTGCAGCTGGCCATGGCGCTCTCCCTTCAGGAGCAGCAGCAGGAGGAGCAGCGGAGGCGGCAGGAGGAGGAGGAGGAGCTGAAGGAGGCGCTCCAGCGCTCCCTGCTGGAAAAGTAGCAGGATGACGCGAGGCCCGCCCTTCTTCGCCCGGGCGCTGGACGTAGAGGCCAGGCCCGGCCCCCTTCAGCGGGGGGGGGGGGGGGGGGCTCTTCCGCTCACTCGCCAAAGCTTTGAGCCCAAAGATCTGCCCGCTCGGCAGTTGCGCCGAAGGGGGCACCCCAGCCTCTGCCAAAGCCCGTTCTGAAGAGGTGCCAGGCTCTTGCCAGCCTCAAAGAGGGGGCAGCGGAGGGTAACAACCTGAGCCAAGGGAGGGGCTTCCTCGGACTCGGCTCCTCACCTTCCAAAGATTTCAGCAGCTGCCAGGTGTCTTTTAGGGCCCGTGTGCCTCGCCCACCGCCTGCCTGCACCAGAGTGCTTCTTCCCTTTGGACTCCTCCGGCCGCTTCTGTGTCTCTGTAGCCTTCCCAAGCCTCTCCTCTCCTGGTGCTCCTCCTAGCCAATCTGGGGGGGGGGGTGTTTTTAAATAAAGTGGGGGCAACTCCTGTCTTGGCTGAGTTCCTTAGCTGAAAAAGAGGTGAGGTTGAAGGAAAAAAAGGTCTCTTCTGGAAGCAGGGAAAGGACTACAAAAAGCCTCTATAAAGTTAGTAAAGGAAAACTGCAAAGACTGGAACGTATTCGGTCAAGCTGCAATTTTAGGACGGTGTAATGGACTACAGGATCAGAGAATCCGTTTGACGCAGGGCAACATTGTTTAGGTGGTCCCGCTGGCTGAGATAATAAGGCCTAACTGTGTGTGGACGGCTGTGGCCCTAGGGAACCCCCCCCCCCCCCAGACGGGGGATCCGCCAAGCCAAAGCACACTGACAGCGGTTTTATTACGGACCGAAGGAGCTGAAACACACCAGAAAACCCCCATTAGGACACAAAACGGAAAGCACCGAATCACACCAGAAATGCCAGCAGCCACGTGGGCACAGCGGAGGTCAGGCCGCCTGGGGCTCCCCTGAGGGAAGGGTCACCACTGGGAGGGGCTCTTGGCCATTGGGCAGCTGAAGGGAGGCTGCCCCAGTGCCGGACTGGGGGCTCTGGCCGAGAAGGGGTCCGCAACACTTGGCTGCTGCCGATCCACTCTGCATCGGACCGAAGGCAGCGGGCGGCGCAGGGCCAAGACCTGGAGCCCGGCCAGTCCTTCCTTCGCTTCTGTCGGGCAAATGGCCGGGGGTCCCGATCTCGTCCAGCCCAGCGGGGGCAGCGCGGCGGTGGCGGCGGCTCAGGTCGCGAGAGAGCCGGGGCGAGGGCGGCCAGAGCAGGCGGAGGGGGCTCCGGGCCCCGCCGGTCGCACTCCCGGCTACCTGCGGCGAAGCGGCCGATAGACGCACACGGCCAGCAGGACGGCGGCGAGCAGCAGGAGGCCGAAGACGCTGCCCAGCAGAGCTGCCGGGGAGAAAAGGCGGCCGGTCAGCGGGGGGGGGGGGGGGGGGCCGGCAAGGGGGGCTGCAGACGGGCTGAGCGGGGCAGCTTCGAGACCCCCGCGCCCCCCACGGAGCAGGACCGCCCCCACCCGGCCGCTCCTTACCCAGGTTCTGCCGCCGCAGGACGGCGAAGGGACGCTGCTGCCCGCTCGCCGCCGCCCCGGCCTCGCCCAACGCGAGCGGCAGCGGCAGCAGGGCGGCTCCCCGGAGGCTCCGCAGCATCCTCGCGCCAGCGCAGGCCGAAGAGAGGAGCTCGCAACCCGGCGTCCAAGGGCCTCTGAACATGTGCAGAGCGCCCGCCCACCCCCGCACGGAAGGGGCGGGACTGACATGCGACACCCCCCCCCCCACCCCGGTGATGGTCGGGTGGCAACGCCTGCAGAGCAGAGGCCGCCAGCGAACCGATCCCCTCCCAAGGCCCAAAAGGCCTGCTGTGCACAGGAGACATGGAGAAAGGGGGGGGGGGGGGTCAGCAATTCCAGGAAAAGGAGGTGCGCTTGACTGGGAGGCGGTGGGCCCATCCAACTGTGCTTGGAGGTTGCCTGGAACCAGCTGTTCTTTTGGGGTGCTCAGCAAAGAACAGCCTGTGTTTGGGGGTATCTCTCCGGCAAGAATTAAAGGGGGGCTGGCACGTCCACCACCTCCAGGGTCAGCTCCCGGGCAATCTTCTCTGGCCGCAGGCACAGGGCAAGGCGCTGGAGGGGAGGCAAGGAGAGAGGTGGGGGGAGGGGGTTAGTGTTAGGGGATGGACAGGGAAACCCCCCTCCCCCGCCCAGTGAAGTTGTTAGGATCCTGTTTCCCTGACCTGCTTCAGAGATCCGGGGGTCCAGACCAGCTTGTAGACCATGTAGGTGGGAATGCAGAGGAAGGAGGAGGCCCCGATCAGGTGTCCCAGCCTGATGCTCCACACAGGATACTCGTAGTCAAAGAGCACGAGGGGGGGCTGGTCCAGGAGGGAGCTGATGAGGATGAACTGGGCAGGAACCAAGGAGAAGGATGAAGTCAGGTCTGGCAGAATGCCCCCACTGGCCCCTCCCCAGCTTCTCTGCTTTAGGAGCCCCCCCTTGCCATAAAATTCTTCCTTTCCACCCCAAGGGGACACTTGTACCGGGCAGTAACTGTGTGTGGGCGGCTGTGGCCCTAGGGATACGTCTGACAAGCAGAACAAATTTAACCTCCCCGTTTACGAACTGGAGCATCTGTACCCCTTTTTGCTGGAAATGCCCCAGTCGGCTCCCCAAGAGGGCTGTGACCCACAAATCTGGGTCCTTTGAACACTGGTGTTGTTGGGAAAAACCGGTTGGGGAGGGGGAAGTTAGGAATCCAAGCTCTCTAGAGCCAGGCAGGGCCAAAAGGGCTCCGAAGGCCTTCGGAATAGAACCTTCCTGTGGGGTCATGTTTCTGTTCCTAATTCATGGGGCAAGCCGGCTTATCCGTAACCAGGCCTTTCTTTCCTCCTGCTCCCCCACTCGCCCCCATCTTCCTCGGCAGTTCCCCCCCCTTTTGGGGATGTTCCCTCAAACCCCCCCCCCCCCCCCCCGCCCCCCGCGTCCATTCCAACCTCAGTCAGTGACCTAAGAAACACTGATGGAGGAAGGATCCGTTACGCACCGCTAAGGTGGCTGGACTGACCACTCTCCAGCACACTTGCCAGTACAGTCCGGGCCCAAAGCCCAGCATGGCCCTCACGTCGCTGCAGAACTGCTGCATTCCTAGGAAGGAAGTCCAAGGCGTCCATTCGTCACTCAAAGCCCAAACCTTTCAGTCTACCTGAGTGACCCTTGAGGAGCTGAGCCCCCTCCCTGGACAGCCTGGGGGAGAAACACTCAGAGCCAAAGGGGGCTTCAAAGGCAGAAGGGCGCAGGAAGGTTTGCAGAGCAGATGGGGGGGTTTTTCCCTGAAGGAGACCCATACAGGGACAGTGGCCTCGGAAGGCGGCCCTGGAGGCCTTGTAGAGGCTCTCTCCTCCTCCCATCCCTCCCCCCGGGGGCCACAATGCCTCTTTCCTCCTCACCGTAGAACCAGGAGACGGCAATGGCTTCCAGGAACACCACAGCTAAGATGGAGCAACCAGCCCCAAACTCTTCCAGGAGTTTCACAACGTAGGGGCCTCCCTGGATGGGAACACCAGTAAAGAGCCTGCTGTGAACCTGGGAGGGGACGGGGAGGCTCTGAGAGGCTGCAACCCCCCAGAAAAGCTGGGTTGGGCGCAGCCCTTGAAGGTGGACAATGCCACACTGCAGGGATTGGCCCTCCAGGGGTCACTCTGCCCTTTGGGGGCCGGAAAGGTGGTCTTTTCCTTGCAAATCCACGCAGGAGGAGGAGAGTTGCAGCTGTTTCAGGTTCCTCCAATATCCCAGCTGGCCTTTCTTCCGCATTAACCCGAGAGGTGCTGCCTGGCCCTGAGATCAAGGGGTCAAGGAGCGCCCACTGTCCCCAGAACTCACGTTGGTCAGCGTGGCCAGGGAGCCCAGGAAGCAGAGGGCGATGAGTCCCAGCACGAACAGCTGACGGTGCGCGCCCAGCACCTGGGGGTACTCGTCCATCAGGGCAGTGATCACAGCTTCCAGGCCCCCAAACTGCAAACACCCCCCGGAAAACCCAGTCTGAGGCAGAGGTTGAGCCCTGGAGACTGTCGGGGAGGTCTGGACGTGCAGGGCTGCTCCGTCCACTTCGGAGCGATTCTGCCCTTCGGAAAGGTTGCGGGGTGGTGGTGGTGTTTAAACTGTTCCTTGGAAAGGGATCCTGGCAGATCGCTTGGGAGGTTTTCCCCACAGTTTCTGCCTTGGAAATATTTCCACCTGGGGCCTCTCCTCTAAAGTTAAGTGGGATGAGGAAGCCGCTTCCACCCAGCATGTAACACGGAGCCCACCCACTTGCAGCCGAGGGCAGCCGAGGGGGGTCTCCTCCCAATGCAGAGCGGAACTGGCCTTACCGTGCTGTCCAGTCCCAGTGTGACCATCATGAGGAAGAAGAGGATGGCGAAGAAGGAGGATCCGGTCATGTTGGCAAGGGCTTCCGGGTAAGTAATGAAGAGGAGGCTGGGCCCTGGAAGAGACCCCTGGGATGGCACCACGAGCAGGCTGGGTTCTGCCCCTTGAGAGCTCTCTGTGGCCTTCCCTGCCACCCATCGCCCCCAAAGTGACTCTCGGGTAGGTGGGGACCAAGCAGAACCCGCTGGCGGGAAGGTGACCGAGTTACAGGGCTGGCCTTCTCCAAAATAGGGAGCCAGATGTAAGCCAGAGACCTTGCAGCCGAGGGGGCCCTGCTCCTTGCATGCAACCAAGTCGGGTCCAGTTCTCCTTAGAGCAACGGCATTAGGGAAAGGCGGGGCTCACTGGGGAGGAAGCGCTGCCTGCTCAGCCCAGGGACGCCAGCTGAGGGCACCTTTTCGTCCCCACCGGTGGAGGAAGCTGTTGCAGCCTCCTTTGGCCAAGGCCCACCAGAGGCGACCACATACCCTTGCCCTTTGCCACCTCCGCAACATCCATGTGCCGCATTTCAGCCATATAGCCCAGGACGGTGAAAATGACAAATCCCGAGAGGAAGCTGGTGAAGCAGTTGACCAGGCTGGTCACGATGGCATCTCTGGAAAGGAGCGACAGAGCCCTGACTCCCCCCGACAGATGTGCCAGGAGAAGAAGAGGATTGTGCCAACCTCTGAGAGAAAGAAGGCAGCTGGCTGATAGCCGGGATCCACTCGCTGCCCTCTTCTGCAACCCCGCATGGCCATTTGCCTCCAACCCAGCCGTGTGGGGCTCCCAGCTGGCAAAGGCTTGCCCTGGCATACTGGAAAGCCTGCTTAGGCTGCTCCCCAACCAGCATCAGCCATCCAGATGTGCAGCCACCCAACAGAGCGGTCAAGAGGAGAAGGGAGAGCTGCTTGGCCTCGAAGCCTCACCGGTAACAGTTGTTGTTGAACGGGTTGTAACTGGCCAAGGCAAGGAGGACCCCGAATCCTGGCCCCAGGGAGAAGAAGATCTGGGCAGCTGCATCCACCCACACCTGAGCAGAGGAAGGCACAGTGGTGGCAGCTGAGGAGGCATAAGGCCACTCTTGGTGGAAGAAGCCCGTATTCTTGCTGGCATGGATTCCTGCAAGGCAGGTGCTGCCCTTGGACAGGTGTGTTAGGTCGAAGAAGGGCACCAAGGAAGCCCCTTGTAGGTTCTGGCCAATCTCTCCTTCCCCGCCTCCCCCCCCCCCCCCCAGCGTTCATGAAAATTCATCCGTGCATCAGGAGAGGTAATTATGGGCAGGAAGTCCATTGTCCATTCGGTGGGAAAGCAGGGCAGCCCTGATCCATTCAGACAGCAAATGACATGTGTGATTCAGTTCCTGATTTGCATTTCTAAGGGTGCCAGAGAATAGCAAGGGAAAGAACAGCCCCCCCTCCCAACTGGCCTTCTGATCTTCTCTGGGGAGAGGGGGGGGTGGCCAGATTGGGGGCCTCTTGTGGATCCGCAGGAGAGGGAAGAGTGGAGGGGGGAGTCACGAGGGGGGGGAGCAGAGCCCGAGCAAGTGGCCCTTTCAAAAGGTGGCCCTTCACACAGAGGGCCCAGCAAGTCCTTCCCTCTGGGCGGGGGGGGGGGGGGGAAGGCGCCTGAAAACGCCCGAAAGGCAGGGAATCTGGGAGAGCGAAGGCTTCCTTCTGATCCCTGCAGAAAAGCCAGGATTGTGTTGGACTGGAGAAGGGCCCCTGCTGGGCCAGCTGAACTCTCAGGGGATGCCCCCAGCTTCCCCATGTGGCGTAAGTGATTTTCCCCCCCACCCCCATCTCCAGCTGGGAAAAGCCACAACTCTCTTTGCCCTGAAATGTGGGGTCCTTGGGGGTTTCTGTCCTGCATGATGGCCGGATAGAGCCCCCTTTTGCGAGCCCCCTCCCAGCCTCCAGCCCTGGGTCCTTTCGCCACCTTCTCTAGCACAGCTCCTGTTGAATTTCAGCCTGGGAGGAAGAACCTGGCAATTACAAAAAGCTGCATGCAGCAACGTACGGCCATGCTCCTCAGCTTCTGCCAGTCGGGTTGCAGGTAGAAGACAACCCCCCTCCAGGCCCCCGGGAGGGTTGCCCCACGGATCAGCAGGATGAGCAAGACGACGTAGGGCAGGGTGGCTGTCACCCAAACCACCTGGAGGGAGAACCAGGCTGTCAGGGGCTGCAGGGCTTGGGCCAATCCCAGGGGAGGCCTTGCTTCCCCCCCTGGAAAAAACCTGAAGGGCTGGTGCCCCCTGCCCGCGTCTGCAGCCACAGGAGGGGCGTGGGCATGGGGTCTGGCCCCCAGGGTCCCCTGGAGGAGGAGGGGGCCTCAGGGCCCCACGCCTTGCTGCAGGAAAGAGGCGGAGGCTCCCACGCAGCCTGTACCTTCCCTGAGGTCTTGATCCCTTTCCAGAGGCTGAAGTAGACAGTGGTGAAGATGAGGAAGAGGCAGAGCAGCAGCTGCCAACGGATCTCGCCCACGTCAGACAGTCCATGCGAATTCTGCACCTGCAGGACATGCCTCCTGCGACAGAGAGAAGCTCTCGGTCAGAGGGGGAACGAAGCGCCATCGCCGGCCGGCCAAGGGTCCCAGGAGGAATTCCAGCAGAATTTGCCCACGTGGACAATTCCATCCAGATGCCCGAGAGACCCCAAAGCCACATGCCCTCTGTCTTGGCTCATGCTGTGCCGGCAGCACCACCTAAAGAACCAGCCCTGGCGCTGCTCCCAAAGACCGTTGGCCCCTGCCAGGGCTGCTGACCTCCCCCCACCCCCCCCCCCCTTACATGTAAAACTCCTCAGCGGGGGACTTGGAGAGGTTGGTCCAGGAGACGTTGCCAGCCTCGAAGTAGCTGAGGCAGCTGGGGGTGTTCCAGGGGTTGCTGCAGCTGGCCCAGGGCAGCGTGCGGGCGAAGGAGGAGCAGAAGTAGAAGAGGGCCCAAGCAATGATGGTGTTGTAGTAGAAGGCCACGTACAGGTTGATCACGCAGATGGAGAAGCCGATGCCTGCAGGAGGAAGAGACGGGCAGGCAGAGGCGGCCCCCAGACCCTCCTCGTCCCCAGGTACCTGGCGGAGGCTGAAGCCTCGGCTTCTCTCAAGCACTTCAGGCGCCTCTTCCCCTGTCCTGTCCCGGAAAAGCATTTTCCCCCAAGGGGGAGGAAAGCCCTGACCTCACCCTAAAGCCCCCCCCCCTTTGAGGGATCCTAATCTTTTAGACAGATGTGCAGGTGCCCCCCTCTCCCCTTTCTGCCGTTTGGCTGGCTAGGTACCTTTAAAGATGGGGCAGATGTTCTTCCAGATGGGTATGGCTCCGACCCGATGGAACTGCCCCAGCGCCAGCTCCATGTAGAAAAGGGGCACCCCTCCGAAGACGGCCATCAGCATGTAGGGGATGAGGAAGGCTCCTGGGGCAGCAAAGGGGCACGGAGGATAAGGGTTTCGGGGTTCTCTGCTGCTCCCCCCCCCCTCTCTCTCTCACTCACACACACACCGCTCTCTTGGGGAAAGGCAGCTTCAATTAACCACCACATTAAGAGGCTCCCCGAGGCTGCCTTGCTTCTCCTGGTGACGTGCATAACAACTTCCTTCTGTATGTTTTAAAGGAGCGGTGGGGGGGGGGGGAGACATGGTTTGCTCCCCACCAGTTACTCCCAACCCCCCCTTTTTTTCTTAAAGCCCTCCAGCAGCCGCTCGCCACAATTGAAGAGACTCAAACTATCCCCCCGATTTCTCTGCATTCATGTGGTCTAGAAACATGCACAATCGTGACACCAATGTGTCCAAGGTAAAACAGGCAACGGGTGCAAGCTAAATGGATAAGAATGCAGGCTGAAAAGCACAGGCACATGGGAAAGGGGAAGAGCCACTCGTGTCCTGGAAAAACATATGAAAATACGCAGATCTCCAGGCAGGAGGCTGTCTTGCCCTGCAGGATTATTCTCCGCCTGGAATAAAATGGGCTCCAAACGGCACCCAGCAAGTCCCATAAGTGAACTGGAAATTGCAATTCAGACTCCCCCCCCCACTCATTTAAGAAGGGCATTTGGTCACTTTTCTTATACTTTTCCAGAATTTTTTTTTTTAATCTAAAGGAAATATTTAACAATTTGGACAGAGAGTCAAACAGTGTTTGATTCATTTGTTTCTCCCTTGCCTGACTTTTATTTATTGATTTATTTGTATTCCCCTTTTAAGTAGTTTTCCTCTGATCATTTGTATAGATTTTACTTCACAAAAATCCCAAGTTGCTGGTAAAAGGGGCAGAAATATAAAAAGGAATTAGAGGAAAAAAGAAAGCAGCAACTTGCCGATCGCTAAAGTTTGGTGTTATAAATTAAGTCCATAATGCCACAAGTAATGGTAAAAATGGTTTGCAATTTTACCACATTTAGGTTGTTCTGCATTAAAGCAGTGCCGTGTTTCAGATTTTATAATATTTTTCCAATGGGGCCAAAGAGAAACTGTATTGGCCACCCGCATTTTTGTGTGTCTTTGTGCAATGCATTTCAGTGAGGCTGAAAATAAATACCATGGACAGTTCCCCATTTCCAAAAGAGAGAAAGCCTTAATGGCAGCTATTGGTACCATTACCCTGAGATTGAAATATTGTCTGAGTTAGACCCAAGAAACCCTCCAGGAAAATGGAAGAACCTTCTTACAATGGCAAACCTCCCCAATAAAGCTACATGGGCACTTTCGTGTTTAGGATTTCAACGGGACCCCCTGTTTTTCTGGGTCTTTCTTCCCCGTTCTAAAGTCCAGCCTTCCAAATCGCACTGGTGGAGAAGATGGTGATCTCTAGGAAGGAACAGAATCAGAGAGACCCTTACCCAGAATTATAAGGGGCTCCTTGCTTGGGTGGAAAGTTCACCTCTGCCCCAAATCTGTGCCCACTCATGACCCGCCTCCTTACCCCCTCCGTTCTGGTAGCAGATGTAGGGAAAGCGCCAGATGTTGCCCAGATCGACGGCAAATCCTACCACGGACAGAAGGAAATCCGCCTTTTTGCTCCAAGTGTCCCGGGGGTCCCTCTGGTCAAGCAGAGAGCCAGCCTGGGGGATCTGAGAGCCAGCCGGCCTGGGAGAAGCGGACATCTTCCACAACACCCCAGCAGGGTCTGGGCTGCAGAAGTTGGCGGAGGGCAGGCGCACCCAGGAGGAGGGTCAGTGCAGTAGGCGCTAGGAAGGTTTGCTCACTTCAAAGGGAGAAGGGCGGGGGGGGGGGAGGAGACAGAGGAGGAGCCCCCCCCCCCCGTGCCGGGCTGTGTCGGGCTGGGGGAAGGGGGGGGGGGGGGGGGGGGGGGCTGGGTCTGCCCATACCCACCAAGCTGCACAGCCTCTGTCCGGGGTTTGCAGGGAAAAACAGCAGGTGACCTTTCCTTCTTCTGGGCGAGAGGCCTGGGGCAGCTGTGGGGCCTGCCCAGCCTGGGAGTTTCCTTTCAGCCCCACCGCCTGAGCCCCTCCAAGCTGAAGGGCTTCTGCTGGGCTTCTCCACCCTTCTCGGTCCCAGGCGTAGCTCGGATGCGGGAGCCAGGAGAACCTGCTCAGCCCCTGCCAGGGACAGGATGGGGCATCTCTGGCACCCCAGAGCAGGGTCCCGTCCTGGCCCAGCAGGGATTTAGGAATTGCCAGGAGGGGAACATGGGAGGAGGGTTTGCTTTCTCCTTCTCAGAATAACAGAATTGGAAGGGACCTTGGAGGTCTTCTAGTCCAACCCCCTGCTAAGTGGGAGACCCTGTGCCATTTGGGGCAAGTGGCAGCCCAGCCTCTTAAAAGCCTCCAGTGATGGAGCCCACAACTCCTGGGGGGAATGAGTTGCTCTTTCACCTGCGCTGACTTCAGGCGCTTTTCTCCTGCACAACCCCCTTGCCAGGCAGGCCTTGCTGGCTGGGTTAGGTGAGCTGTCCCTGGCATCCACCCAAGGGCACCTAGAGGGGCAGCTGCCTTTCCCACTGGGGAGAAACACCTGGAGACTGCCGGCCAAGGGGAGGCCAAGGCACCAGCTTCCCCTCGCTCTGCTCACGGAGGCCTCGCTCTCTGGCAGCCCTGGACCAGACCAGGAAGAAGCCCCCCCCCCCCCGAGAGGTGGGTCGATTCCTGAGATGCCCGGGGCTCTCTGCTCTGGCGCACACCACACCTTTTCACGCCTGGGCAGCAGCCGGCCATTCAGCCACGCCTGGGTGGCTGCCTCCCCTTCTCCTCTGCCACCTGTCAGCTGGATGTTCGCATCTCCCTTCAGCTTCGACAGCTCCATTTATGAATGTGTCAGTCAGAGGGGCAGGCGGTGGGGGGGAGGTCCCCTTTCCCCTTGCTAGGCTCAGCCTGATTCCACTGAGCATGAAGCCCCCGGCGGCCCTTGGACCGCTCTGCCCTGGTCAGCCTGGGCCCAGGCCGGAGCCAGCCAGGCTCCCTTTCAGCCCAACCGGCCTGGACGGCGGAGGCTTCCTTCACGCAAAGCGATGGGCTTGACAGGTGTGGCCAAGCTGATGCGCATTTGCCTGGGAGGAGGGAGGGGAGGGGAGGGGAGGGGGGGGGGTGGGCAACTCAAGCTGGGAAGGGCAAAGGGCAAGAAAGCCCCAACCTCCTTCCCCCCCCCCCCCCCGGGGGGGGGAGACACAGATATGCCTGGCCTGTTCTGACGGTACCTGCTGGAGAGTCAAGTTTGGCATTTGCTCTCGGGCCCTTCCACCTGGAGCAAGGTGCCCCCCTGCCCTGCCCAGCAGCACTGCCCGTCCGGTGCCCGGGGTCTCCCCCAGAATCGGGCAGAGAAAAGGGGGGGAGGGCAGCTGCTCCAAGTGAAGGAGCCTGGCAGCCCCTCCCCCTCCAGTCTTGGGAGGCAATAGGAGGCTCACCTTGAAATAGACTTTTGGGCCTTTCAGGACCCAGGAGAAACTTGCTCAGTTTATTCCACAGGCCCCAATTGAACGAGCCATGGCTTAGTGCCCCCCCCGCCCCCCAGTGTGGGGCGGCGGTGGCGCAGGGACCCTCGATCTTGGCGCCGTTCCTCTCGCCTAACCAGCCCCGCAGGGCCGTTGTGAAGAGGGAAGGAGCCCCCCCCTTGGGCCCCGAGGAGGAGGAGGCACTTCCGCCGCCCGCGGGACGGGGGAGCCGCTGCCAGCCGGAGGCGCGGCCAGCTGGGGCGGGCGAGGAGGAAGAGGGAGGGGCTCCAGGGTCCTCCTCCTCCTCCTCCTGCTGCTGCCCAGCCCGGTGCGCGTAGCGGCGGAGGCGGCGGGGCGTTGCCTCGCCTCGCCCGGCCTCCCAGCTGCTTCCCCGCGGCCAGCCGGCCAGCCAGCGGACGGGCGGAGGGGCGGGCGGGCGAGCAGGATGGCGGCGGCCCCGGCGCTGGGCTCCGGGCGGCGGGCTCCGGGGGCGACGTCCGGGGGCTCGTCTACCCTGCGCTCGCTGGCGCCCGCCTCGCTGCTGCTGCTGCCCGCCGAGGCCGAGACCCGGCAGCGCCTCCTGCGCACCGCCAAGAAGGAGGTGAGTCCGGGCGCCGGAGAAGCCCACCTGAGCGGCCTCCTCCCGGCCGGCCCCTCCCGCGCCTGGGCCCCGGCCAGCCCCCCTCGCCGCTGAGCCCCCGGCCGGCCCTGCTGCCGCGGCTGGGGCTCCGTTGCATAAGCGGAGCGCCTCCCGGACCGGGCTGCCCGAGCAGAGCCACCTGCTGGCCGGGGGCTCAGCGGTCCTTCCGCGGCCCGGCCGGCCCGGCCTCCCTGGGCGAAGGGCGCGGCGTCGCGGAGGGGCACGGCAGCCCCCCAGGGCCAAGGCGGCTCTTCCCCAGCAAGGGCCCGGGGCCTGGCGCGGGGTTGGGGCCTGGGGAGCTTTGGTTAAGGGCCCCGGCTGAGCTCGCGTCCTCCTCCCCTCGGTGGCCTTCAGGGCAAGGCAGGAGGCGTCGGGCTGCCCCCCTGGCAGCGTCCCTGGAGGGGGGGGCAGATTTTGAAGGGGCAAGGGAGCTCATGACCTGGAACTGTTCCCGCCATGATAAATACTGGCTTCAAGTTTTAAAAAAGGGTTTGGACCAAAATTTGGGCCCAGGAAGAAACTCCCCGGATTGCCAACTCTCTCCTGCTTCCGCCCTGTGCCAGGTTTGCCCATTGGTGGTCCTGGGGTGGGCGGGCTTCACAGCAGCGCTGGCCAGGCTGATTCTGCCGCCTCCTTTTAACCATCTTTTAATTCACTGGCCTGCCAGCCAGGAGCTTCCCTTGTTTTATTCCTTAATGATGAACCGGGCACATTGTGCCTGCTCTTACGGCCTATTCTTGGCATCCCCTTTCTGGGGTGTGATTGATGGCCTGGCAGTTGGTCTGCAGCCATTGATACCGTCTGTTCGTCCGCTTGAATTGTGGGCTTGAGGCTGGCAGAGGGGGATGAATTGCCAGCGCAGCCCCTCCAGCTCATTGGCTGCCCAGCGTTCCTTGCGTGGGCTGCCAGCCGAGCTTCAGGGGGACTGTTGGCAGAGCTGGCATAATACTGGACATGATTGGGGCTGCGAGTTTATTTGAGCGACTGATGAAGCGTCATTTAACCCGCAATGATTTTAGCTGGGTACCAGGTTACAAATGTTTACGTTTTTAGTTCTTCTAAAGCTGCAGGAGGTAAATGCTACTAGAATTCGGCCATGGCCTCTCTTCGGATTATCGTCCTTCAGCAGGGCACCAACTCATAGAATGACATCTCTGCTACTAATGTACAGCCTTACCACACGTCCTGCTGTTTCCCCAGAGCCCCAAGGGCACTTTGGAGGCTACCTTAATGCGGAGAGGTCCTTTGTCTTGTGCGCCATTGTGGAGCGTTCAGCGAGGTCTGTTTCCTTGGATGGAGAGGCAGTTGAGGTTCCTGCCTCCCCGTGGCGAGGAGCAGAGGCTGCTGAAGCTGCCTCCGACGCCCCCTTTCTCTTCCTCTGAAGGGGAGAGCCTTGGCTTTCTGCTGGAGGAGGAAGCCCTCCCTCAGCGTGGGGCCTGCAGGCATTTGGGGGGAGTCCCGTCTCCCTGGTTCTCCTTCCCATCCTTGCCCGGTGGTGCAGCTTCTGGGTTGATCATGTCAGCTTGTTTCCATGGGAACGGCTGCCTTCTAACGAGTCAGCACCAGGCACACGAAACAATCCAGGGGCCTGAGTGCCAGCAAGTGCAACCCTCGGAGGGTGGGGGGGCACCTGGAGCCGTGCGTCACACTCTGCAAGCGTGTGCAGAATTCTGTGATTCTGAGAGGAGAATCACGTCAAGCTGAGTGACGTCAGGCAGCCCCCCTTGCACCCAGGAGTGCCCCCCCCCAAACCTAGTCATTTGTGGGTGTGAGAAGGCTGGAGGCCCTGGACCGGCTCCTCCCCCTCTCCGACAGCTGGAAGGAGGGAAGGGCTTCGAACCTTTGGGTGCCGCGATTCTGAGCAGCGTTTCATGCAAAACTCAGGAACTTCTCCCCCAACCCATCCAGGGTCTCGTAAGAATCGGAGTGTCTGTCCTTCACTTGTTCCACGGCCGATTTTCTGCTGTGTGATGCAGAGCAAAGAGTGACTCAAGGCTGGGAATAGTGCAGGTGCTGTTCACTTCCTTTCTTTCCCCATTTTTTTCCCAATTGAAAGGATCCCGCTAGGTCCTTCGTCTGCAAAAGGATCCCTTTTGGATTGCTCCTGCAGGATATTGGCGGTGCAGGCTGATGACAGCTTATGGCAGGCAGGCTTGAAAGGGGATTGCATAAGCAGGCCATTTGTTAGCCAGGGCAGCAAGTGGCTAGGAGAAGAGTCCCGCTAAAGATCAGCCTTTGGGGCTGGCTAGACTTCACACCCACAGGGCTTGGCCGAGGTTTCCTGCTGTGTTGCGAGCCTGGAGTGCAGAGCTACACCTGCTTAGCTGCTTTCGGTTCATCTGACGGGGACTCTCCTGACCCAACCTTGCGTGTCTTGAGCGCAGCAGATCAGCGTCTCGGGTTTAAGTAGGGTCCTAGCCGCTTCCTTCAAAACGGGCCGTGGCTTCTGAAAGCAGCCTAGGTCAAACTCTTAAAATTGCCCCCGTCCCCGCAAAGGGGAAAAAGAGGGGCTCAAACATTTGCTCTTGCCCATCCTGGGGCCACAGGAGAGGGGCTGTCGGCCACTGGTGCCCCTGGGGTCCTTCCCCAAACCAGGCCACCCCCCTCCCTCAGGGACGTGTTTCCTTTCTTAAAAGGCAGAAGTGTTGATGGGGCAGGGAGGCCCAGGCCGAGATCTCGCAACCTCGTTCAGGTGTCACTTTTATGAGGGATTCCAGAGCAGAGCCCGCTGGGGAATGTGGCAAAACCTCCCCGGCAAGATTTAAGGTTGTTTCGGCAGGACGGAGGTGCCGCTCTGGGAGATGGGCAAGCAAGTCCCCGCCTGCTTAGCTGATGGGCACCAGGGCTGGGAGAGGCCCCAAATGTACTGCATGAAGGGCCTAGCAAGGTATTTGGAAAAGTGAACCGAAGGAATGTCCCAGTTGGGCTGCCGTTCTCTCTGTGAGAAGCAGCTCCTGGGTGCAAAAGGGCCCTGAAGTGCCCCGGGGGCTTTTCTGCAGGGAGGGTCCCCATTCCTTCCTCTTAAGGAAGCTGGAAAAAAACCACAGCTCTCTTGGTCCTCATGCTGCCTCCCCTGCCCAGCAGCCATTGGCCTTTGGGCAGAAGGGAGCAAACTCTGGCCACTCGACTGGGAATGGGATCGGAGGGGGGGGGGGGGTCAGCCTGAGGCTGGAACCAGGAGCCTGGCCACCCTGCCGCATCGCTCTCTGATCTGAAGCACGGGGCTCCCTCGCGTGGCTCCGTGCTCGGCCTGCTCCTCCTCTCCATTTGCCCCGTCTCTCCTGCCTTGTCCCCCCTCTTCAGGTGGAACAGACAGAGGATTCGGCCGGAGATGAGGGTCCTGGCCTCAGGGAGGGGCTGCCAGCCCATGGGATGCAGAATGCCTCTCCCTTTCACTAAGGTTGCCATAGCAACGGGAAGGGATGCTGTGCCCGGAATAAATGGCCGGTTATTTTTTTCAAAGGGAGGGGGAGGGGCGGCTGCAGAACCCTTCCGGAGGGGCTTGATTCCAGCCAGGCGGTAGTGAAACTGCTGTTTGCACGCCTGGCTTTGTCCTTGAGCCCATCAGGCTTGACCGGGTGAGGGCTGGCCGGTCACTTTTCCCCACACGGCATCTCTTTCGCCCCCCCTCCCTGCTGCCTTGGGCTCGTGTGACCAACCTCTGTGCCACAGGGGAGCAACTGGGCTCTGTGTGCCTGATCGGGACTTGGGGCTGCCCAAGGCAGGAGAGCCTTCCTGCTGCGGAACGGCCTTCAATCTCTCCCACAGCTGCATCCTGCAGACCACCTGAAAGCAAAGGTCATTTCAAGGAATATGGACGCCTCCCCTTTGCCCCTCCCCTGGCCCTCAAGAGAGGGACAGTCCTGGGTTCTGCTCTCGGCCCACTTTTCTCCCCTTCCGCTCTTTGCAACGGCCACGCCTGAAACACGCCTGGAGAGAGAGGGTGTTGCTGAGTCCACACATGACACAACATCGTTTACGCACTGTGGCTTTATGCCTAGTAGCTGTGATTCATTCAGCCAACTCTGGTTTGTTGCAGTATGTGAGCCTGGCTAAGGGGGGCTCGCTCAGGGCCTGCTGTCCTTTTCCCACAAAGCAACGAAGGGGTTTGGAGGTCGCTGGTCTCTAAAGTCCCTAATTCAGACTAGGAGCTTCCTGAGCCACAAGAAAATTCCCTTCTGTTCAGCACTGTTGCTTCAACTTGGCTGGAGAAAAAAGTGCTTGGGTTTTTGTTTTTGTTTTAATGACAAGTTGGGGAAATAGGGGGGGGGGCCACCAGTGGGAACATCTAGAGGCCCCTCCGTTCTTGCATTTCCAGCGAGTGTTTTCTTGGCAGAGAAATCTCTTTTCACTTATCCATTTTCGCTGAACTTTGTTTTTTGCAGGTCAAGCAAATAATGGAGGAAGCCGTCACAAGGAAGTTTGTGCACGAAGACAGCAGCCATATCATTTCTTTCTGCGGTAAGCTGAATCGATCCAGGCCTCCTTTTCTGTCCTTCCCGCCAAGGAACGTGGGGGTGGAGTGGGGGTGGGGTGGGGGTGTCCTCCACCTGGTCGGTGGGCCTACTGAGCTGCTGGCTGCCATGCAAGCTCCTTGCAGGCCAATGGTCGGCTTCTTGGAGGCTGGCCTGAAAATCAATAGCCCATTGTCTCCGCCTGTACCTGGCACCTCGGGGACAAAGCAAAGTACGAGAAAAGGAACCTATTTATTTGACTTACGTTCTGCCTGCAGGAAGCAGAGTTTAAAAGCAAAAGCCGAGTTTTAAAAGTTATTGTTACAATTAAGAGTACTGTAAGCACTAACCACGCTGGATGGTGAAATGTCCAGCTTCAAGAGAGCCAGCTTTGCACAGTGCCCAAAAGGAGAAGCTGGAGAGGAAAGAAGCAACGTGGGTGTCTGTGTGTGTTTGTGGGTCATCCAAAGGCCTTAAGAAATGTCGGTGTGGTCAGCCAAGCTCTTAACCTTGATCCACAGCCTCCCGGGGGGGGGGGGGGCTCCTTGGAGGAAGCTGTCAGTGCACCCAAGAAGTCTCCAGCCTGTCCAGGGGAAAAGGCAGTTCCTGGGGGAGGGGCTGGCTAAGGATGGTGTGGAGGTGGCCATTCCACAGCTGAGCTTCGCCAGGGGACCTTCGGCCAGAGGCCTCGCTTCCTGGGGGGTTGCTCAGGTTTGGGGCTTTTTCTTCCAGCTGCGGTCGAAGCCTGCGTCCTCCACGGGCTCAAGCGCCGGGCAGCTGGTTTCCTGCGGAGCAACAAGATGGCTGCCCTGTTTATGAAGGTGGGCAAGAGCTTCCCACCCGCCGAGGAGCTCTCCCGGAAGGTGCAAGCCCTGGAGCAGCTCATCGAGAGCACGTGAGCTGCAGCTGCGCAGGGAAAGCCTGTTGGGGAAATAGTCGGGTTTGGCTGCTTTGCGGGCCTGGCCGGTGCTGAGAGATGCATTCATGTCGGACCGGCTCAGCCCTGCTTAGGCTGTGTGCCCTCCATGGCGTCTGGCTCGCTGGTGCTGAGCGCTGCCTGGAGTGTGTGTGTGTCCCCAGCTAGAGTTTAACCCAAGCCATCCGCTCAGCTCCTGCACCCCTGTGAGGTGGGGGGGGGTTTTGCCTTTGGTTTGACCGTAATTTAGAAAAGTGGAGTCTTCTGCAAGTGGAGCCGTTTCCGGGGGCCCCATGGAAGGTGCTGCTTTCTCAGCCAAAGTGTGGAAGGGGGTCTCCCACCAGAAGCCTCTGGGGTTGGGGTTCAGATTCCCTGCCTGGCCCACTGGTTGAGGGCGCCTGGGTGCATCAGGCAGGCAAAACACCCACCTTCCCAAAAGATAGAAGCTCTGATTTGGGGAGGGCCGTGATCCCCGGTGATGGTGAACGTGGGGCTCCTTCTTCTTGGCCCCCTTCCAGGCGAAACCAGGGCTCCAGCTTGCAGGAAAGCGCCCGCAAAGCTCCAAAGCCCCCCAGCCTCTCCCCGCAGGCAGTCAAGCACCTCTGGATCCGGACGGCGCTTTTTGAGAAGGTCCTGGACAAAATTGTGCACTACCTGGTGGAAAACAGCAGGTGAAGGTCTCCTCCGCCCTGGCGCTGGCCCTTGGCTGGCAGTCCTGGGCGCTGCTGCTGCCGTCTCGGCCGTTGGGCCCCTTGGACTCACCAGGTGGCCCAGACCAGCCCAAGGTTCTGCAATAGGCGGAATACAGGAAGAGGAAGAGTGACGGTTGGGGAGCCTCTTCTCCCCTCGCCTGCTTAGCCCTGGGTGTCTTTCCCCCTCCCTGCAGCAAATACTATGAGAAGGAGGCTTTGCTCATGGACCCCGTTGATGGACCCATCCTGGCCTCTTTGCTGGGTAAGGGGCTGGAGGCTGGCTGGGCATTCAGGGGTTGCAGTCCACACCCAACCAGAGGGTCTTGGGGTGTGGAAAGACGGAAGGAGGGGAACGTAAGACCCAACGCCTCCCTCCCTCCCTCCCTCTCTCAAACCGGTCCTCCCTTGTTCTGCACCCGCAGTGGGTCCTTGTGCCCTGGAGTACACTAAGATGAAGACGGCTGATCACTTCTGGACCGATCCCTCAGCAGACGAGCTGGTCCAGAGACACCGGATCCACAGCTCCCATTGCCGGCAAGACTCGCCCACCAAGCGCCCTGCACTCTGTGTAGGTTTCAGAGGGGAGCTGAGGGTCAGCTGGGCTGGGCTGCATCCCTGAACCCGGTGCCTCTGGGGGGAAAGAGGCAAGACCCCACCCCACGGATTGAAAAGTGCAAAAAGGGGGTAAAGAGAGAGAGAGAGAAAGCAGCAAAATTCCAACTCAGTTGGGAATGTCAGTGGTTAGATTTGGGCACCCAGATTGAATAGTCCAATTGTTTGGAAAAGCAAGATTGCAACCTGCCCCCCCCCCCCGGCCCTTTGGTTCCTAGATCCAGAAAAGGCACTCCAGTGGCAGCGTGGATGACCGGCCCTCCTTGTCCGCCCGGGATTACGTAGAGTCGCTGCACCAGAACTCCAGGGCCACCCTCTTGTACGGCAAAAACAACGTCTTGGTGCAGCCGGTGAGCAGCCTGGGAGGGGCCGGTTGGGTTGCCTGACCCCCAGCAGGCCTTGTGGGCGCTTTGCCTCCCCTGGGTGCCTCCCATATGCCACCTGCAATTTTGGGGACTGGTTGTTTGCTTGTGGGGCTCTTTGCAAGAGGCAAGAGAAGCGGTGGAGGGCAACATCCTTTCCAAAGAGCGTTGCAGGTTTTCCAGAACCTTCTTCCGATTATCATTTAATGTGAAGCTGCTGCATGATTTCTGGACGCTGAACATTTACTCACTAGGGAAACACGGTCGTAAGTCAGTTCTGCCTCCTGTTTTCCCTCCCGATAGCGAGACGACATGGAAGCCATTCCGGGCTATTTATCCCTTCATCAGACAGCCGACGTGATGACGCTGAAGTGGACCCCAAACCAGCTGATGAACGGCTCTGTGGGCGACCTGGACTACGAGAAAAGGTGGCTGGTCCCCCTGCGCTCTTCCGCACGAGTCCCCCGCGGCCCCTTCCCTGCATTGGGTGCGAGAGAAATTCATGGGTCGAGTGCACCTGCCTTGGGCTCCCCCCACCCCCGGCTCAGCCGCGGCCTGGGAATGCTTCAGCCACGGCGGGGGGGAGGGGATGCCGTGGCTGTTAAGGTGCCTTTGCCGGGCGCTGCGTCTTCCCTCTGCAGCGTTTACTGGGACTACGCCATGACCATTCACCTGGAAGAGATCGTCTACCTTCACTGCCACCAGCAGGGTAAGGCGGCGGCTGCCCCGGCCTGGAGCTGGCCCTGCACAGCTCTGAGAGGGCCTGGGTGGAGAGCAGGGAGCCCACTGCTGTCTTGGCTTGGGGGTGGGGAGAGGCCGGGCCTGCTGGAGGTGGCCCAGTTTCTCTTGGGCTTCCTTGGGCCAAACCTGCCCTCTTCCTGCGTCCTCCTTCCTTGTCCCTCATGCCAACAGTAGACAGCGGGGGCACCGTTGTCCTGGTCAGCCAAGATGGCATCCAGCGCCCTCCGCTGAGGTTCCCGAAGGGAGGGCATCTGCTTCAGTTCCTCTCCTGCCTGGAAAATGGCCTGCTGCCCCACGGCCAGCTGGATCCCCCCCTCTGGTCGCAAAGGGGGAAGGTGAGGCTGGGCTGGAGCTGCTGCACCCCTGCGGCTGGGGCTGGGTGGATGCAGGGGGCCTCTTGCCTGGACGGGCTGCCCTGCCTGCTGTTGTCCGAGGTGCCGGTTCGGCAGCTGAAGCCTCTTCGGGGCCGCCTGAATGCCGGAGGCCGTGGCTCTACCCAGAGAGGCCTCCAGGCGTCGGGTGCAGCGTTTCCCTGCTTTCCTCGGGCTGCTCCAGACCCCCTGAGAGGCCTCCGCTTCTGTGCTTTGCTTCCCAAAGGGGAAAGTGTTCCCGAGGCTGAAGAAGCGAAACCTGCAGGGACCCTGGGAGCCTTCCTCGGACAGGGAGGAAGAGGAGGCCACGGATTACGTCTTCCGGATCCTCTATCCAGGCCTCCAGGACTTCGGTAAGGGCAGCAGAGGTTTCTTCCCCAGAGGTTTGTTTTCTGCACGGTAGGATACCTTACAGCCCCACGGTTCAGAAATGCAACCCATTCTACTATTATTTCAATGCAAAATATTTCTGGTTTGTTTTGTCAGTGGCCTTGAATGCCAGTGGGGGGGAAATGGGCATTATGTAACTTTGGGGGGCGAGAAGGATCTCGGGGGGGGGGGGGGGGGGGAGCAGCCCAGGGCCTTTCATGATCCAGCTCACCCAGTCACTCGTGCTTCCCTTGCAAAAGACCTGTGGAAGCCGAGAGTTTGAGGAGGTTACAGAAGTGGGGAGGGAGGGTCAGAAAAGAGAGCTCAGATCCCTTTTCTGATCATTTCTTTTGGGGGAAACCTTATAATTCCCGGAGATTTGCCTCTTCCTCCGGCCCCAAGAGCCTGCTAAAGGGAGGAAGGGATGCTCCCTGAGATAAACGTTCAAAGTCTTGGTGGGTCTTTCTTTCTTTCTTTCTTTCTTTCTTTCTTTCTTTCTTTCTTTCTTTCTTTCTTTCTTTCTTTCTTTCTTTCTTTCTTTCTTAAACAGGATGGGTTGGGGCCATTTTTAAACTTCCCCTTTTTCTGCTCCTCCAGCTGTGGTTAGCGGCTCTTGCCTTGCCCCCACCTCTGCCAACGCTGGTGCTTCTGGGCAAGAGACGCCTTGGATGGCCCAGATCTCTGGCAAAGTCGTGGTGATCCCCAAATGGCCCCTGAGTCTTCCTGGCCTTCCTTCTCCCACCAGCTCTGAGTCCAGACAGCACGGCTGTAACATTCCATTCACCCACTAGAGGGGGCTCTTGAGGCTGGGCAGCTTGGCATCTGTGTTGGCATCTGTGGCTTGGCAAGGCAGGGACCGTCTCTCCGCCCCCTTTATGGGTGTGTGTGGGGGGGGTTTCTTCCTCAGCCCACCCTACCTGCTTCAGAGGCAGAAAGCCTAAGAGGGAGGAAGAGGCAGAATTGGGCCTTTTATTCCTGGCAATATTGCAATTGGAGAGATCTAAGTAACCAATTCGATTTGCCTTCACTAAAACAGGTAAAAACATTTATCAGATACAGATAGATTAAGTGGAATTAGGAAAAATAAGAAGGTCATACTCTGTGGCACACCTGAAGGTGTTGATTTAATCAACTCATGGGAGGGAATGAGTCTTCCTGCCGTTCTTATTACACCTCCTCATTTGCCAGTTGAGGCATGAAGACGGGAAGATGGATGGAAGAAGGGAAAGCGATGGGCTCAGGGGAAGGTGATCTTGGAGGGGCTTCCTCGCCCACTCCAGATGCCATCACAGGCCAAGCTCTTGACTTTGCAAACGTCCTTTCTTTGATCCCTGTCAGTCTCTTCCTGAGTTTCGCACTTCCTTGTTCCTCAAACAAGGCGGTTCTGTTTTGTTGAGCCCTCAATTCTGGCTGAGAAGACAGACGTGCTGCCATTCCCGAATTATGGCTTCTTCTGCAGTTTTGCTGGGTGATTCAGGACACCCTACGTCGACCTGGTGAAATGATGCTGGCCCTGGTTGGGGAATCGCCATGGTTGAGCCTTAGATGGTTACACCTGTTGCTTAGAACAAAATGCTTCAGCATCCTATCCAGTCTTTGAGATCAGCTCACATTAGCCTGCCTTTAGCCCGTGTACAACAGAACAGAACACTTTATTGGCTAAGTTTTCCAAGGAACTTTTCCATGGAATCTAGAAACCCAGAAATCATTTATATCAATTATATTACGGGAGGTATTTCCCCCATAGGTATCCAGGGTGGTTTACGAAGGGTATAAAAAATTCATCCGTGCAGCATAACAGAGAAGTAAGACTGCATTAAGCTTTGAGGGGACAAGCAAAGCAGAGCAAACTGTCCCCCCCCCCCACCCCCACCCCCCCGTGCCTTTTCTTGCACCCAAACGGGGAAGGACTTAATCTTGGAGAGGAGCAGCCTCCCAATCCAAGTTACCTTCTGGCTCCCGGTTGGTTTGCAAGAGGAGAAGCGAGCGGGAGGATCGGAGAGCCGTGGTGGGCCTTGGCGTGGGGCTTCTGGGCGGCCTCTTGGGATGCAGCCGTTGCTGGAAGACGCTGGTCCAGGTTCCAGGATCATCCAGGATGAGACACTTGTGGGATGCTTGGCGTGAAGGGGAGCCTTGCGCTCTGCTGCTCTCTGGTGTTTTCCTTGGTGGACGCATCTCCTGTTGGTCTCCCTTCCCTGACTTTGCCTCCAAAGCCTGGTGGGGATGATTGGATGATGATCAAAGCCTCGCCCGATGGGTGCCCCTGTCTTCCCAGGGAGGCCTTTCTCTTTGCTTCCTTTCTCTGCTCCTGGAACAGCGCTGCTTCTTCCTCCCGGCACAATATTAACAGCCCATTTCCGGCTCTTGCAGCTGCCCAGGACCTGATGGATGCGCCCGGGAGTGCCCTCCCTTCCATGTGGCAGCCCAGCGCCCGCAAGGCCTCCTGTCCGTCTTGCGCCCAGGGGGCAGCCAGCGAGAACGGCCGGTCGAACGGCTGCAACCATGAAAGGTGAAGGGGGCCTCAGGGCTGGGGCGCCCCGGGATGGGGGCAGCTGAAGGCCTGCAAGTGTCCCCTTTCCCTGCCACATGGATGAAGCGCCTCCGCTCCCGAATTGGGCAGCCTGGGGGCCTTTTGCTCTGGGGGAGGCGAGGCGAAGAACGGCATGGCTGCAATCCCTGAAGAAGGTGGGCGGGTGAGGAGCAGCCTGGCACCCCGTGAGAGTATCGGCCTTTCCAGGAGGCGATGAAGCAAGCGCCCCTTTAAAAACCAAGGGAGGGGGAAGAGGCGGCCCCAACTCCACTTGCCCTCCAGTTCAGTCTCTCAAGAAAGGGGACTCGGCCCCCTCCTCTCTCTCTTGGCAGAGCCCCCCTGAAGCTGCTCTGTGACAACATGAAGTACCAAATCGTCTCTCGGGCATTTTATGGCTGTGAGTATTTCTCAGACCGAGCCAGGCTTTCCTTCCAGATCCCTGAGCGATGAAAATGCAGCTCTGGGTCTAATTGGGGGCGTCCAGTGCCGCCTTTGCGCCCTGCGTGGGGATGAACTGGGGTCTCTAGGAGGGGAGCTGCTTGCATTTGGGGGAGCCTCTCCTGCTCCTTCTGGATCCTCTGTTCCAGGGCTGGCCTACTGCCGACACCTTTCCACCGTCCGGACGCACCTCTCGGCGCTGGTCAACCACGCCATTGTGTCCCCCGAGGTGCCCTGCGATGCCAGCTTGGGGCTGACGGCAGAGATCTGGGAGACGTTTCTCCAGGACAGCACGGTAGAGCGATGCCTCCTTTGGACCCCCTCCCCTCCCCCCCCCTGCGCCCCCCTCCAGCCCGTTTCAAGGCCTTTTCCCTGCAGAGCTACGAGGAGAAGGAGCTGCTTCGGCTGGTCTACTTCGGAGGGATCCAGCATGAGATCCGGAAATCCGTCTGGCCCTTCCTGCTGGGACACTATCAGTTTGGGATGTTGGAAGCCGAGAGGAAAGAGGTGAGGCTGGTTGAAGGCGTCTGCGGCTCCGAGGTGCTCCTGAGAAGGAAACCAAGTGTGCCTTCTGGCCCCGGGAACTTGGAGGTGGGGCGTCCGTGGAAGGGCTTCCAAGCAGAATCTCCTTTCGCCGAGCCCTCGTTCGTTTGGTTCTCCGTCTTTGGGGTCTCTCCTGCCGTGCTATTCCCCCATCTCTCTTGCTGGCAGGTGGACCTACAGACCCGGGCCCACTACGAGCAAACCATGGCCGAGTGGCTGGGCTGCGAGGCCATCGTCCGGCAGCGGGAGAAAGAGTCACACGCCGCGGCCTTGGCCAAGTGCTCCTCGGGGGCCAGCCTGGACTCCCACGTGGAGCCCCTGAGGCACCGGGACTCCACCATCAGCAGTGGCGTGAGCATCTCCTCTGGGGCGTCCCAGAAGCATCTCCTTTAAGCCACCGGATGCAATGGGCGGGTTTGGCCTGGCCGGCTTCTTTACCCTGGGCCAGGCCAGAAAGGGGAGGGGGGGGCTCCTGTTTGAGTCTTCCCTCTGTCCACCTGGAAGAGCCCAGCCGACTGAGGCTTCCTCCTCCTCCTCCTCCCCTTCCCCTTGCAGTCTTCCCAGAGTAGCAGTTTTGGCCCCCAGAACTTCAGCCGGCTGCAGAGCGACTCCAGCGGCAGCACGCAGGTGAGGGAGGGGCCCCTCCTGGGTGAGGGAGCCTTTGGGGAGACCCCACCAGCCGGCCCAGGCTCCCCTGAGGAACCCGAGGGCAGCTGCGTCATGGTTGGTGGGCTCTGTTTGCCTTTCGCCAGGTGTTTGAGTCAGTGGAGGAGCTGGAGCAGACGGAAGCGGAGAGGAAGCTGGAGGCCGGCGGGCGAGTGGCTTTGCCCAATGGGGGCCCCCCCGAGGCTGGCTCCTGCTCCCCCGACTCCGGCCACCCTTCCTCCCAGAACTTCTCTGTGGCCTCAGCCTATTCGGAGCGGAGCTTCAGCACTGAAGAGAGCTGGCCGGAGGGAGGGAAAGGGGGGGCAGGGCAGGCCAGCGGGGAAGGGCCCCCGCCTGCCAGGGAGAGCAGCCCCCTGGGCGGCAAGGGGGAGGAGGAGGCAGAGGGGCCCTTGGACGCCTCCATCCCATGGATGGGCCAGGAGCTGCCCGGGAAAGAGCGGGGGGGCCTCCCCAGGGCAGAGCAGCCCGACTCCCCGGGGAGCGAAGAGGACCCCTTGGAGGAGCCCGAGATGGAGAGCCTCTACCCGGGCCTGGACTCGCACTCCCTGGCTGTCACCGACCTCACCCTGACCGAGGTCTCCCCCGTCTCCTCCTCGGGGGTCGCCTACTCGGTGAGCTCCCCCTTCGGGCCCCTCCGTCCCTTTTCCAGGCAGAGGCTTTGGGCCCCTTTGTGGTCGTGAGTCGAGGGACCCCTTGGGGAGGCCAGAGTCCCATAGGGGGGGGGGGCACTCTTGGTGGGGCTCTGCGCTCCTTTCAATGGTCTCCCCCCCCGCCTCTGACTTGTAGCCGGAGCTCCTGGACCTCTACACGGTCAACCTCCACCGGATTGAGAAGGACGTGCAGAGGTGTGACCGCAACTACTGGTACTTCTCCCCGGCCAACCTGGAGAAGCTGCGGAACGTCATGTGCAGGTGGGGCTCCTCCCTGGGGGAGGCTGCTCTCTGCTGCAGAGCCTCCCCCTCCCCCCCTCCCTCCCCCTCCCGCAGCTGACCCCTCACGGTCTCTCCCTCCCTCCCTCCATGCAGCTACATCTGGCACCACATTGAGGTGGGCTACGTCCAGGGCATGTGTGACTTGCTGGCTCCTCTGCTGGTCATCCTGGACGAGGGTGAGTGGCTCAGTGGCCGGGCGGTGGCCGGGGTCCCCTTGAAGCAGCCTGAGATCCATCGGCTGCAGGGGGAGAAACGACCGGAAGGGAGACTGGGGGGGTCCTTGGGTGGGGGGGGGGGGGGGGGCGCTGGGGCCGGGGGGGCTGGGGGCGGGGGGGCCCCGGGGGGGGGCTGAGGGGGGTTCCTGGATGTGGCTCCTCCCGGCTCCTTCGGCAGAAGCCCTGACCTTCAGCTGCTTCACGGAGCTGATGAAGAGGATGAACCAGAACTTCCCCCACGGAGGAGCCATGGACACCCACTTCGCCAACATGCGGTCCCTCATCCAGGTACGGAGGGGCAGCCGGCCGTTCCTCACCTGCTGGGCCTGTCCTCGCGGCCTGCCTGGCCTGGCTGGGTGGGGGGCAGGGAGACATTCAACAGATAGGCTTCGGGGTGGGGGAGGGGTGGAGGGGCTTCAGTCGCAGCGGGGGCGGCTGTGGGGAGGCGGCTGCACTGGACCCCGCTGGGGGGAGCACTGGGGGGGGGGGGGGGGGGCGGGGGCCGGGCTGTCCTCCCCCCCAGACCCAAAGGGGCTTTTCCGGCAGATTCTGGACTCGGAGCTCTTCGAACTGATGCACCAAAACGGGGATTACACCCACTTCTACTTCTGCTATCGCTGGTTCCTCTTGGATTTCAAGCGAGGTGAGCGGGCCAGGAGTGGCACGAGGATCCCTTGGGGGGCAGTTCGGGAGAGGATGGTGGGTGAGGCCCAGGGAGGCTGGCTGGCGGTTGGGGAGCCAGGGGGCCTGGCAGCCCTTTGCTTGGCACAGCTTTATGAGCACAGGTGTCCTGTGGCGCTGGGTGTGATCTCTGGGCCTGGCTGTGTGGCGGGGGTAAGGAGGAGGGGCTTCTGGGGGACCAGTGTGGGGCCTGGCAGCTCCCACGGCTTCTGCTCCGCCTCCCCCCCCCCCCAGAGCTGGTCTACGAGGACGTCTTCACTGTCTGGGAGACCATCTGGGCGGCGTCCCAGGTCTCGTCGCCTGGCTACGGCCTCTTCATCGCCCTGGCCCTGGTGGAGGTGTATCGGGACATCATTCTGGAGAACAACATGGACTTCACGGACATCATCAAGTTCTTCAATGGTAGGTGCCTCCCAGCCTCCCTGGGGCCTGTCAGCAGAGAGACGCCCTCGACGATGGTTTTGTTGGGCTGGGATGCGGCCGAGGCTGCCTGTTTTCGTCCCCCGCCAAAGCGGGTGCGGTCTAAGGCAGGGCCCTCCAACCTGTGGAACTTTGGAGGCGTGTGGACTTCAACCCCCAGAATTCCCCAGCCAGCCAGCCAGCCAGCTCTGCTTTCCTTTCCCCGTTGTAAGGTTTCCTCTACTCTTTTCCTCCTGCTTTTCTCTTCCAGAAATGGCCGAGCGGCACAACACCAAGCAGGTCCTGCAGCTGGCCCGGGAACTCGTCTCCAAAGTGCAGACCCTCATTGAGAACAAGTGATTTGGGAAGGCGCCTTCCTGCCCCCCCCCTCCCCCAGGAGGATGGAGGATGGAGGATGCAAAGGGTCCCGGCCGGGAGCGGCTTTCCTGGGGTCCCAGCCCCCGGGGAGGCAGCAGGGGAAAGCTTGGCCTCGCCACTCTGTCCACTTCACCAAAGAAGGCGCTCGGCCCTTCCCTCTCCCGTCTTGGTTGGGGGAGGAGGCTTTTGGCCTGGCACAGAGCTGGATTCGAAGCGGGAGACGGGCCCTTGAAGAAGAAGACTAAGAAGACGGCAGGAACTGGCCAGTCCTTCATGTGTCCCCCTCCCTTCAGATCTTCCTGCATTGCACGTGCGTTGTGAGCGTGGGGCTTTCCCCCCGGACCTCGTCCCACCCCAGGCTGACGCCCTTCCAGCTTGGGGCAGACCTCCGCCGCCTTCAGGATCAGGCTGCCCTGGAGCTTTTCTTGGAGGCCTTTGTGCCAAATTCCTGCTGCCATATTGACTGTTGGGTGTCTGCTTTCATGGAAATGGACGTGGCTCCCTGTGCTGGTCTGGCAGGTTCCTTCTGCCTGGTTCCCTCCTCCTTTTTCTGACAGAGCACCAGAGGGAGGAGGCCTTTCTCCAGCCAAAGTAGCTCCATCTTTTCCACCTGCGGCTGCCGTGGGATGGTGTCCATCTGCCTCCCCCATGCTTTCTTCTCCGAGGGCACCCTTCAGTCGCCTGGCTTGGGCCGTGGTGAAGAGGCAGCCCCCCTGGTCCTGCTGCAGCCCGGTCTCTGCCTTGTCTTCCTGGCCGGCTCCAGAATCGCCAGTCAGCAGGGACCTCGGCTTCTTGGGAGGGGAAGAAGGGTTGGTGGTTTGGTTTTCTTAAACTCAGGTGTTTTTCAAGAGAAGCAAAATGGGGTTCTGTTACGGTACCTATCAAAACCTGCCAGGAAAAAGCCTCCACTTGGGCTAAGCAAGTCCCCACGTTTTTGCTGTGAAATTGCTCCCCCGCAAGCCAGAAGACGTTTAGCCATAGCTGTTCCCCCCTTTCTTTCTTTCTTTGGAAGGCCTGGTCTCCAAAACAATGCTGCAGTTCCCCTGTGGGCTTCTAACCACCCCTTCCATTTGAAGGGGGGAAAGTAACAAAAAGAGTAACTCTTAGAAGCCCCTGTCCTTCTCCGTTAGCTTGTGTGCATAGGTGTCTGTGCATTTCTGGTACATATATTGATACATGTATGTGTGTATATTTAACATTGTCTGTTGAACCTAAGCAGAAAATTCTGCCATTCTGGGTAATGTCTTTGCTGGACTTCAAAGGAAGGGAGGTCTGCAATCATGGCTCATTTCTAGCTACTATTTCTACAGTTGCTTCAAACGTTTAAGTGGCTTCCTTCTGCAAATCCCAGGGAAAGGGATTAGTTCAGGAAATGGAAGTGGCTGACTTCCAAATTGTATAACCCAGGGAGGAAGAACCCTTGGCAAAAATGTTATCGTAGATAAACATCTTTTAGTTAAGGGGGAAGATGATGATGTTGGGAGGAGCAGGAGACAAATTAGACTCCCTCTCTTTGCACTTTCACAACTTTCTCAGTAAAATACTTGTTGTTTCTTGTGATCCTGAGAACAGCAAGGCCGTCTCAGTGTGGAGGTGCAACCTGGGTGCAGTTATTGGTGAAAACACAAGAAAAGTCATGCCCAGGCTACCTGCTCCATTCTTGCCGATCTTTCATTCTCAGATTCTCCCCAGACCACTTGACAGGAAAGGGAGCCTTTAGAGACCAAAGTTTCTGGAGTTTTGAAACCAACTCCTCTTTTAAAATGTTTTCTCTGGGCTATTGGGGGCAAAGTGGAATTTTGGATAATCGGTTGGACACCCAAAAGATCCAGTACGTGTGCGAGTGTGTATGTGTGCAAATGTGCACTTTAATTGTGCTGGGCTGTCGAATTTTGGATATTGCTCTAGTGATCTTTCTTAAAAGCACAATCCTGAGTGAGTGATCTGTTCCTGAAAGGGAAGTCTTGTTGCTTTTGAACAAGAAAATTAAGCCAGATCCTTTTCATAAATGCTTGGGTAGGTACCCTCTGGTCAATGGGGATGGGGCATTTCATTCTGGGCATAATGGTGCCATGGTAGAGACCAGCAGTGACCCCCCCACACACAATCTGTAAGGCAGCAGCTGAACTGTTTACAAGGAGCCATCAGCAGAGTCCCTGGCAGATTAGCCCTGGTCTCCACCCAGGCTTCCCTTGGGGGTGCCTGGTGTGTTCAGAGGCCATTGAGGTCAGAAGAGAATCTCCCAGAGAGGCTGTCTTGGGCAACGCAGCTCATGCCCTTCGGAGGGACTCTTGGCAGGACTACAGAAAGCACCCCCCCCCCTTCTTTCATGGCAGCGGAGGAATTGGTGCCTGGTCCTCGCTGCCAATAGAGCCAGAGAGCGGATTGTGACTCTTAGAGAGCATGTGGGTGAAACAAATGCCAGGGAGACATTATTTACATGTATTTATGAATTCTGTGCATCCTGAGGTCTGTGTGCATGAATCGCTATGCAAACAGAGGTGTATTTTTGGTCGCTGTCTCAAAATGTATCTTGTAAACATTTTAGCAGGAAATTGTCTTGTATATAGCTACATATTATACAGATAACTAGCTCATGTATATATATGTGTGAGCAGGTGTGCATACACATGCACACACACACATATGCATGCATAAAAAGTATCTGGATTACGCAGTGCAAGAGCTATGTGTGATTTTGAGGACTTCCCTCCTTCCCTCTGGTGTGTGTTGAGGCTGGGGGTGAGTGAAACAGGTATTTTTCTCTTCTGCTTCACAAGGAAGAACACAAGGAAGGCATTGGAGGAAATTTTTCTCAGCTTATAACATTACTGTTCGTTTATAACCAAAGTGATATACTGCTTCCCATAAAATACCTGGGAACAATTTGTAAGTTACGGCCCTTTGGCCAGAGCACCTGTGTTATCAGGTATTATGGGGCAGAGTCCATGTTCGAAGCCACCTTTTCACCCCCCAGATGAGTAACCTCCTGCCAGCCGCTCCCTTTCTTGGCTGCCCTGAAAGGCTTGTTCAGGGGGCGATGATAGTTCCTCCCCCAGGGAGAGGCCTGGGTGCCGGCCTCAGTTGTCCACATTATTCCTCTGGGCTGGGGGCTTGACTTGTAGGGCAGGGGGAAGCAAGGCTCCCTTTCAGGTAGGGATTGTCCTGGCTCAGCCTGGTGATTGCTGACCCCTTTTTCCTGAGTTTGCCTTAAAATAAAACTAATCCAATTTACAGCTGGGAAGGAAGGCTCGTGGGGAAGGCTGGAAACTCCAAGTGTGTGTGTGAGTGTGTGTGAAGCTGGAAGACAAGATAGTTGTGGGCACACACAGCCATACCTTTTGAACAGTGAGGCCACTATGTCTACAGCAACTGATAATTCAGTTTCATCCTTCCTTGCTGTTGCATTCCTGTGCTGGATGCATTTTGGGGTGATGATGGGGATTAGCCAGTTGGAACACCTGAAGAACGCAACAGGTCTCTTTTCTTCTGACGATGGGTCTGTGTGTGCAAAAGGGAGCATTTGGTGCACCTCCCACTCCGGGGGTTTAATTGGAGGAGTTGAGATCCAAGTTTCAAAGCAGGGAAGGCCAGGAACTTTTCAAAGGGACCCGTTGTTGTTTTTTAACCCCACAGAGGACAGTAGCTCTCAGATAAATCCCCCCTGCTGGAGGGGCAGAAAAGGCACAATTTCCCTGCTTCCTTGGGGTTTTGAGGGGTGAATTCCCCGTTTTGCTTCTGAGTCCTGTCTTGCTCACTGGCACCGGCTGCTTTGAGGCAGGGGGTCCCAGATTAAATCGGGGCTTTCTGTCCTCAAACTGGCCCAGGGAGCTAAAGTGTCTCATCCCCCAGTAATGCCAGGAGGTTTTGGGAGGGAGGGAGGGAGAGAAATGTCTAGCAACTCCTGCCCAACACAAACCAGCTGCTGCTTGTGTGTGTGCAGTGTGTGTGTGTGTGTGGGGAGGCTTCATCCATCCGTTCTGGAAGTGCCTCCTGGCATCGCAGTTTCTATGGTTCACCTTTTGTCCCTGGGTGGTTTTTGTTCTTTCCCAAACCCAACTTGTCTGAATTCCGCCCTTGTTCCTCTGTTGCCATTGACTCGATCGCGCTTTGGAATTCTGGCCATTTGTGTCTGTGGGGCCAGAAAGAAAAACAAAGAGAAACTTCGATGTTGTCTTCGGTTCTATGTATTTTCAAATGATCCTCAGTAAAAGGAAGCAAAGAAGCGGCCTCCGCGAATCTTTCAACCGCCCGGCCTGCCCCGGCTGCCTCTCCGGCCTCGGGTGCCCCTGCCGGCAGCTCGACGGGGCCGAAGGTGGAACCTGGCCTGCCCAAGCAGGCGACGCGCCTCTCCGCGGAGCTCCCGTTGCCCGGAGGGCGGGGGGGGGTCTCCCTGCAGGGAGCGGGGCGGCGCTCGGCCCGAAGGGGGGTCTGGGGAGCGGCCGGGGGAATTGGGGGATTTGCAGGCCACAACTTGGGCGGGGTGGGGGGCGCCGCCTGGGCTCCACGGAGGGCCGGAGAGCGGGGGGTGGACCCAGGCCCGCCGTGGGGGCGGCGCTCGCCCCAGAGGCGACCGGGCTGGTGGGACCCACTCCGGGCTGGACTGCGGGAAGCCTGTCCAAGCGGCCGGGAGGGCAGCTGCAGGGGCCGGGCGAGGAGGACTTCTTTGGCGACCGTGATCGGGTCTCGAACCGGCGATCGACGGGACACCCCCCCCCCCCCGACTCTTTCGAAGCTCCGACCCGCGAGACGTAGCCCTGCCCTTTCGGGACGTGGAGTCGCCATGGCGACGGAGGTGCTTCCCTCGCGCCAGGCTTTGGGCCGACGAGCAGGTTAGGCTGCGCGGGCCCCGCCCTCCCGAGCGGCTGAGGCCACGCCTCCTCGCCGCGATCTCGGCTGCACCGCAGAGCGGAGGGCGCGCGGGGAGGCTGCCGCCCGACCCAGGTGAGGACTGCGGGGTGTGGGGGGGCGGAGGGTCGCGGTGTGTGGGGGGAGGGGAGCGAGGTGTGCCTGTTATCCCCGCCTCAGGACCCCTCCCCACCTGTGCCCCCTCCAGCCCCGCCCCCCGGGACGAACCCAGGCCCCGCGGGGGCCCCCCCCCCCCCCGGCCTGGCAGGTGCTGGCTGGGGAGCATGGGCGTTGTTGTCCCCTCAGTCGGGGCCCTGCGTTCCCCGCCGCCCCCCGGACCCTCCTCCCCCCCGGCTTCCTTGCCCAGGCAGGCAGGCGTCTCTCTCCGCACTGTCCCCGCCGGACTCCCCCCTTTCCTCCGGGGCCTCCGAAAGGCCCCCGCGCAGGAGTCGCGGCTCCGGGGTCCTTTCCGGGTGAGGACCGACGCAGCGGATCCCCCAGGTGGGTCCAAAGGAAGCCGACTGGCCGCAGGTAGCGCTTTGTTCTGGGAAGGCAGGTGACTCCCCTTGGTCCTTCCGGGGTTTCCTGCCCCGTTGGCCAGATGGGACCCCGCTGGGCTTCTTGAGACCTTCTTGGGCCTGGGGGGCGGCTGTGTCCCGGACCTTATTTCTGTCCAGTCTGGTGCAGCAAGAGAAGGCTTGGCTGGGGGCTGAAGGGCCCAAAGGTTGCTGGCCTTTGATTTGCCTTTGGGTTCCCCCCGTGGCTTCTCTCCTGTTCGCTTGCCGCCTTCAGTTTACCACACTGGCAAACGGGGGAACCCCGTCCCTGGTGCCATCAGTGGAGCGGAGTCATTTATTCTGAAAGGAGGGCACTCTCTCAGCGTTGGCTTGTATTTTCAGCATTCAAAGTCGGATTAGCTAAAGTCCTCGGCAGATGGGAGGACTCGGGGTAGCCAGGCTGTGTTACATCCCAGTCTAAGTCTTTCAGACGTAATTTTCCACTGCTGTGTCTTGGAGTATGAAAATTGGCTGTAGAGGTTCTCGGTGGCTTCTCCCCTCGGCCTTTCAATACGATCATTAAAGTGGAAATGCCATTCCGGGATTGCAGCCTATGACTGTTGGATGGGTCATAAATCTGCCCCCCCCCCCCCAGTGGCAATTATAAGAAGGTCTCATGGCAAGAAAAAAAACAAATAACCTGATCCAGAGAGTCTTTCTGCTCCAAGGAATTGTGCTGAGGTTGGAAATGCGTGCCCAGGAGTTCTTCTCACGTGATGTGTGCAAACTGAGAGGTGTGCCCACATAATAATAGTCATTGAATAGAGTTTCCTTAAGTAGTTTTAAACAATGCGTGTTTACAAAGGCGATGATGAAAATGCCTTTCTTTGGAAGCTGGCCAGAGGAACCAAGCTTGGCCACCTTCCTAAAGTTGTCAGGGTTGATTCTTCAGGATTGTGGAGGATTGGGGGGGCCTCATTCTATAGAATTGGGGCCCCCAATAGAGACGCGCTGCTTCCACGCTCTCCTTTGGCATCCCAGGAAAAAAATGAATAGTCAGGTGGTCTAGAAGGTAGACCCCAAGTTGAGGTATTAACAGGAGGTTTATTAGATAGAAAAAGAGCAATATTACCGAAATCCCACTGAGCAGCAGGTGGTTGAAAACAGGCTCCAAAACCCCTATGCGGTAAGGCTAATGTGGAAAAAAAGTTCATTTGTCTTGGGTTGTGTTTTTTTTCCCTGTAATTCTTGTGAGTATATTTTTGTAGTGTGTTTCAGGAAGAGAACTGGCATTCTTCTCAGTTAGGACAGGAAATAGAGCAGCTAATCGGAAAAAATCTGGTATGCTTGTTTCTGTTGGGTTTTTCTGGCAAATGATGAATGCTTCTCTTGAAAGAATGTGTGAACAACTGAAATACCTCAGCATATGGTTATCCGGGGATATATCGATCCAAGTGTTTGCGTTTAGATTTTCGAAGGCTGGTTGGCTTGCTCCGATGGAAGACACCTGACACACGATCCCACATCCTGGGATGCAGGAAGAGCAAAGCTCCCCGGGCCTCTTCTTCGGGTGGCAAGTCCTCCAGCCATGCCCATCACCTAATTGCTTTAAATTTCACCCTCGGTCTTCCTGCCCAGCACCATGAGCCCGGACGGTGCTACATAAGTGGTAACTTACTCATCGGAGCAGGAGTTAATTCACCCATTAAGCCATGTGGACAGAGCTCGAAAGGAATGCAGAGGCCAGTCCAACCAGTTCAACCAGTGAGTGAGTTCAGAGTCATCCAGGCAGAGACCGTCTCCTCAGCGGTGAGCTCTGTGCATCTCCTCGGACGGTGGTTGAGGCTGTTCTGAGACAAATACGGGGTTGATTTGGGCTTAGAAATTGGCCAGCCAGCCTTGTGGATCCTGGAGCACCGGGGCAGCCATGGGCAGCACCGTGTTTGGCAAAAGTGAATTGGTAATGCTGGAGATTAAAGTTTGCTAGGAGGGTGGCTGTTCTGTCCTGAGGAACCTTTAAGGCGGAGAGAAGAAGGGGAAGAGGCCGGGGAGAACAAAGCCCCGTGTGTTGACCCAAGCAGCTTCTTCTGCTCTGCTGGAAGGGGAGAGTTAAGCTGTGTGGCTAAGCAGGTTGTGCCTCCTTCACCTAATGTGCATCAGTGAAGACAAACACTGCAGTCCTTAAACGGGAAATGGGCGTTCCTGTCCTGTTCCTGATGTTCATGGAAACGGAATCTGACAAGAAGAGTTGCAAAGTGCAGCCTCGGGCGAGACCTGGAGAGTGTAGCTGGGGGGACTCGGCTGCTCTTTCCTCCTGAGCTTTGGGGCTTCAAAGGCGGCTCCCCTGCGTCCTCCTGAACCCGTCTTTTCATGGAAATGCCAAGCCCAGAATAGTGGCAGGGCCAGGGTGTGTGTGTGTGTGTGTGTGTGTGTGTAAGTTCCACCTAAGTTGCTGATGAAAGCCAGTCTTGGTAGCTGGGGGAGAGAGGCAGGCGTTCTCAACACTGATTTATCACCTTATTAATATAAGTTAATAGGTGTGGCAAAGCAGTGCTGCTTTTAAGGAAATGGTTCCTTGTTCTGCTGACAGCTGCGAGAGATCAGGTTTCTCGATTTGGGGACTGGAATCGGGAGAGAAGTGGAGCAGAAGGCGAGACCCATGGAGCTGGTTCCATAGTTCATCTTGGCGGGCGGGGGGCTGCTGTGGGCGTTGGCATATGACGGCTGGTGCCAGCTTCCGAAGGCCCAGAGGAGAACCAGCTCTGGGCAGAATCTCGGGCCAAAGGTCGGCACAGCATGCCAGGCGAGGTGCGGTGGAACAGGTCTGGGCAGGCCGCTGCCGGTCCTTTGCGGGGGGGGAGGGGCACTGCTTACCGCCTCAGTTGCAGCATGTCCTGTGGGCACGGTTGCTAATGAGGAGGACGCAGCCCCGGCCCAGGGTCTGTATTGGCGGTAGGAGAGGCAGGCCCTGCGCTGGAGTACCTGGCCCAGAAAGTGGGCGGGTGGGTGGCTGCCTTCAGGTAAGGCTGAGGTGCCGCTCGGAGGGAGTGGTCTGTCCTTAGTCTGGCCCTGGGCCAAGGTTCCCTCGGGCGTATCCCTGGGGGCCGGGGGCCGCTTGTGCAGAAGGGCTGTTTCTCCTGCACAGATACCTTTGGAGAGTGCCAGGCAACCGCAGGAAGAAGCGAACCTGGTGCCCCTGGGAATAATCAAGGCTTCGTGTTTGGGGTGAAATAAATCGGAACCGGTGACCATATATGGTGGATTTTGAGGGCAGTAAAAGGATTGTTGCTCCTTTAGCACCACTGATAACTGGCTAGGGGTGGGGGGAGGGCAAGGGAGGACCTGCCCTTGCTGGGAAGTGGCTGTGCCTGCCCCTGGGCCAGGCCGTTGGGCCGGGCAGGAGGTTGACGTGTTCGGCTTGAACGGCTTTGCTGAGTTGCAGCTCTCCTTGGTGGGCAACAGGCTGGGGAAGGTCAACAGGCGAGCCACTCGTTTTGCCCTGGGGAGAAAGCCCAGCTTTCCTGGGCTGTGGGAGGGGGGCCTCCCGGCATGTGAGGCTCTGCCGCTCGGTCGCAGCCACCCGCAGCCACCCGCCCGGTTCTCCCATGTGCCGGGTGCCAGGAATTGTGGGCTGTCTGCAAGAGCTCTTTGTTTGGCTACCCAGAGGTGCCGCCCCTCCTGTGCCAGCTTGCCTTCCCCTCCCTGCCCGTGGCTCCGCGTTGGAACAAGCAGCCTGGGAACCGGCTGGTGCTGAGAGCCTCTGGGGCAGCCTGCTTGACAGACCCGGCGCCCCTCCTCTGCCCCGACTTCCTGGGCTCTGCTGGTCGCCAGCTGCGTTCTCCAGAGAGCGCAACGCACGAGGGAAGCGGGGCCATCGCTCCGTTGCTTTAGAGGGCTCCGAACCAGAAATTCGAGATGGGATTCCCTCGCAAAGCGCAACGTAGCCTGGCCTTGTCTTCTCGGGCTGCCTGCCTGCCTGCCTGCCTGCCTGGGCGAGCGGCAGACGTTACCTTTGCGTTTCATGGCTGGTTGGTACGGACAAAGAGGGCCAGTTTTGCCCCAGGGGATCTCTGAGATGGGTGGGGGGGGAAGCAGAGGCTGTGCCAGGGATGCCTCTGCCTGGAGGCCAGCTTTGCAGGGGGCGGGGTTCGGCCCTGAAAGGAGGGAGACCCAGCGGCTGCTCTCTGGCTCCAGGGCCTTGGCGCAGGGGCCTCTCCGGGCGAAGAAGGCGAGCCCACCACTTGGCCACCCTTCTGCTGTGCTGCTTCGTCACAGCGCTTCTCCCCGCTCCGTTTGGTGTTTGTCCCCAGAGATTCCCTTTGGGGCTGGCTCTCGGAATGGCTGCCGCGGCTTGAGAATCCCAGGTGGCTCTGAGACTCCTGCAAGGAAGGAGCTGCTGGAGCCTGGTGGCTGGGCCTGGCCTTCAGCAGATCCCTGCAGGGAGACCCCCCCGGGCTCCTTCTGGGGAAGGGGCTCTTAGCCCCCCAGAGCTTAGAAGAGGGGCTCCTGGGGGAAGACCGTTCGGCCGCCTTGGGCCTGGGCAAAGAGCCCTGGTGCTCGGGTGGCCTTTGTGTCTGCTCCTGCTCAGCGCCTTGGGCCGCGGCCCTTGTGCCCTTCCAGAGAGGGTTTTGTTTCCAGCCAGCTGTGGGCCAGGGTCTGCATGAGGAAGGCTGGGGCGGGGGGGGGGGGGGAGAGGGCCACCCTTGGCTGCTGCCAGAGGAAGCGGCCCTGCAGGCTGAGAGGGCCAGGGGGCTCTCAGCTGGACGGTGAGGCACCAGCTTTCAACTCTGCTTGAAGAGATCTCGAAGGGAAGCCGGAGGGCTTGGGATCTGGGGATTTGGAGGCCACCCAGGGCAGACGCCAGGCATTCGCTCCCGGTGGAACCCAGGGAAGCGAGGGAGGCGCCTTTGGCTGGAGGGGAGCCCTGTGGCAGGATGGGTCAGCAGCCTGCGCACCTGGCCACCCAGAGGCCTTGCTGGACTGCCTGCAAGGCAGAATGGGGAAGTCAGCCTTGCTGTGGACCACGGGCTTGCTTCCCGCTGTCCCAGGGCTGGCCTGCAGGTTGGCTCTCTCTACTCACCCCGATACCCCTCTGACCGTGTGAGCAGGGCGGAGGCGGTGAAAGTGGAGGCGGCTGCAGGGCTTGATGGCTTTGGCCCCGGCTGCACGAGGGCAGAGAACCACCGCCGTTGCCACATTGACTCGGCCCGGGCAGCCTCCCACCCCATTTTTCTACCCTCCGGACTCTTCTCTGCTGGAGGGAAAAGGCAGGCCCGGGTCTCTCTGGGCTGCCCCGGAGAGGAGGGTGTCGAGCAGGGTCCATGGCAGCCCCTTCTCCCCACCCTATTTCATGCTGGGGTCCGGGAAGTTCCGCTTTGTCTGCTTGGGAGCGGATGGCCGTTGGTTTGCCCTGCTGCTGCTGTGGGGCGATTAAAGTCTGCCGGTTACTGTAGAGCCCCTTAATTGCTGTGCTGTAATTTCAGGGTGAGGCCACATGACAGAGCCTAATGACAGAGACGGGTCTGCACAAACCACGGCTGCCTTTTGGGGAAGGCCGGAAAGGCGGCTTGTTTCCTGCCTCAGCCAGCAGACAATCTCCGGGCAGGGCCTTCCTGTTCCCGGGAGGCGAGGAGCAGCCTTCCGCCTCTGCTGACCTAGCCAGAGGGGTCTTTTGCAGGGACCTCTGCAAGGGGCACCGAGCCCCCTTTCCAAGCAGAGGAGGCACCCGGGATCTGGGCTTAGGGGCGTCTCAAAGGGGTTGTGGTGAAAAAGAAATGCTGGCGTCCGGTTCCTGCTGTGGGAATTGGCTGGGAAGTTGCTTGGATGAAATACCTGACCGCGTTTCCCTCCCCCCCACCAAGACCTGGCCTTGGGGATCCCTCCTGGGAAAAGGTAGCTGCTGCCCTCAAACCCCCCCCCCTCCAGGAGCTGTTTGCATCCCCCAAATCAGCTGCTTCCTTTGGGATGAAATGCTCGGCATGCAAATGTGAAGTTGGGTGCCGAGGGTTTCTTTTCTTTAACCCAAAAGCCAATTAAATTCCCGGATCGCCTGTCCTTTTCGAGAGGGAGTGGAGCAGAGGGGAGGCCTACAGCTGTCCCCAAGGGGAACCCCGGGACTCAGAGGGGGCAAGGCAGGGGGCAGCTTGGGGTCCAGGTTATCAGTCCTGGGATAGGAGGCAAGGACTGTCTTCCTCAGCCACTGAACGCCTTCTCCCCCCCTCCCCCCTTTTCATTCACAGGACCGGCCTTGGCTGAATCCCCGAGGGTCTGTTTCTCTCCGGCCGTTTTGGTGGCTCCCTTGAGAAGGTCTGCTTCAGAATGATCCCCCCCGGATCCCTTCCCAAGTGGGATCCTTGTGAAACGGGCCAGGACACTCAGGTGGTGTGAAAGGGCTTCTGGGGAATGGAACCGGATCGGTGTTGGGAGGCTAACGGCGTACAATGCATCTGTGGGAGAGCTGTGGCAGAGTGTGCGCGCTTGCACGCCTGTGTCCGTGTGCTGGGGCTCCAAGGGAGAAGAATGGGGCACCACTGGGGGGCAGCAGAGATCCAGGCCTCCTTGGTGGGCCTGGAAGCAGCTGCTATGGTTATGGGGAACATTTCCGGGGGAATAGGGAGCTAGGATAGACGGCCCCTCAGCCTCCCATTGACGCCCACTGCTTTCTCCCTTTCTCGTAGGGGGCTCCTCCTCGCGGGACCCTCGCCATCCCGATTCCATGAGGCCCTTAAAGAGAGCGATGGCCACACAAGTTGAACTCGGCTCTGCCCTGACCTCGCTGGCCGGCATAAGTGAACCAAGGACCGAGGCCGCCTTCCGGCACTCCTTTATCAGCTCGCTGTCTGACGCCAGCCGGAAGCCTGGGGAGGGCCCCCGAGCTCTGGCCCCACTCACCCCGGAGGGCAGGGGGCATCCAGTGGGCCCTGCCACCATGCCCTCCACCGTGCCCAGGCCCCCGTGGGCCCCCAAGCCCTTCTCCCGGGAGACGTCTTCCGACACGTTTGCTACGGTGAAACCGCCTGTCCCGGCACTCAAGTCCAGCAGTGCTACGCCAAAGCCTCCCGCCACCTTGGCCCAGACCTTTGAAGACGCTGCCAAGGGGCTGCCTGGAAACGTCCCTCCGCTGCTGGATCAGAAACCGATGGAGAGCGAGAGCCCCGTGGAGCCGGTTGCCCACCTGCCCTTCTACGCGAGTGCTCAGGCCAACACCCTCATCCTCTTTGAAAGCAGGCGGCCTGCGAAGGGGAGGGCCGAAGAGGGAGGGTCCAAGGCCCAGGAGGGGCAGCTGCTGCGCTCCCATTCAGAGAAGTGGCCCCCAAGGCAGCCCTCGCTCTCCACGGACCCCAGGCCAGTCTCCTGGGCCCCTCACTGGAAGGAGGCCTTTGCGGGGGGGCCCAAGGGTTCGGCCGGCAGCCTTGAGCCACAGCAGAGTCCAACTCCGGCCACTGAGACCCACTCCCAGGCAGGAGGGGGACCCGCCGCCTCGGCTGGCTTTCGGGAATCCTGGCAGGAACCAACGCAACCAGCTCCTCCCCAGGCAGCTTCTGGCCCAGGGAGCCCAAAGCCGAGGCCGCTCCCCCTGGACCTCACGAGCAGGTTTGAAGCCTGGCAGAAGCAGCCCTGCCCCCCGGCTGAGAGCAAGGAGAAGAGCTTTCCAGCCGCCGGCCACAGGGCTCCGGAGGCCACAGGGGCGAGGAGCGCAGCTGCCAGCCTAAGTGGGGCTGTCCCATCTGGGCCCAGGGCGAAAAGTGCCGGCAGCCAGCTGGCTGAGTCTCCTCCCCAAAGCTCTTTGCCCTCTGTTGGGGGAGCAGCTTCCCCAGGCCAGACTGTCCCGGAGGACGTGGGGCAAAAGTGCGCACAGGAGGAGGGAAGCCAGGGGAAGTCCAGCATGGGGCAGCCCAGGGCCGGCCAAGGCCAGCCTCTGCGGGAGATGGGGGAGGTCACTGCCCAGGAGGCCGGCTTCAGGAAGGCCGACCTGCCAGACGCCTCGGACGGCTGCCCTAAAAAGGCCGCCCCACTCCTGGACCCTTCAGCAAAGCCCCGGGCTGCCCCCGAGAGCCAGTCCCTCCGCCGCAGCCCCGGAAAGGAGATCCAGACCCTGAACATCCAGCAGAGGATTCAAGTGCTGACGGCAGAGAACGCGGCTTTCAAGGCAGGAGGCCTGCGCTGCCACTCCTTCCGCTCCCGGCCTCTTTCCGCAGATTTGACGAAGATGTAAGGGAGGGGAAGCAGCGCCTTGAAGCTGGGGCCTCCCGGATGGGCTGGAGTTCACTCCCACAATCCCCTGCAGGGGATTCTGGGAGTGGAAGTCCAGCCTATCCGGACGGGATCCAGCTGGGAAGGATACCTCAGCATTCCAGGGAAGCATCCTCGGGCCTCTGAAGCTAATCAGGGCCCTGGGGGTGGAGGGAGGAATGAGGTTCACCTTTAACTCTGAACTGCCAGCACTAGAGGTCCAGTAAGGTGGAAGCTTACGGGTAATTTTACCAGCTCCGCCTGGATCGGAATGATGGAAGAACGTTCCAGGGGTCTTGGACAAGCTTGGATGTAGGATGGAAGCCCGGGATGCCCTGTTGGCGTGCGGGCAGACCGATTCTGGGGCAGGGGGAGGAAACCCTTGGGGGAGTCCAGCGCTAAGATTTTATCAGCGTGGGACAGTGACAGCTGTCAGCCTTTCAGCTGCAAAGGTTGGAGGGAATTGCACATTGTGTCTTCAGTTTTTTCCCCTCCTTCATGACGTGGAATCTTTGCCAACAGGTTTTCTGGCCCCGTGACTGCAGGGGAGCTGAAGCCCAAGAGGCCGCCTGAATGGTCCAGGAAGCCTGCTGGTGACATGCAAGAGGCTCTGGAGGTGAGGGGGGGGAACCCAAACTCCATTTTCCCCCTCGGAGGGAAACCTACATTAGATGCGGCCTGAATGACCCTGTGCGAAATGGGCCCTCTAAGCCCGGCAGGATCCCTTTTTTGGGTGGCCCAGAAAATCGACGGGTAATAAGTTGTGGGGGTTTGTCCTTTTCCCAGTAAATTAGGTCACGGTCCGACTGTTCTGCTGGTTTTCCCAAGTTTAAAGTTCCTCTCCCATAATCCCTCAGCCAGCATGTGGATTATGGGAATTGGTGTGTCCCAAGATTGAAGAAAGGCTCACGCCTTTCCTCAGCTCCTTCGAAGCCGCCTGAGGGCCGCCCGACCTTCGTGTTCCTCCCAGCCCTTTCTGGAAGGTTCCTTCCTCCTCCTCCTCGTGATTCATTGATCTGTCAAAGGCTTCTGCTGGTTAGCTGGCTCTGCTCCACACAAGTGAAAGTGGAGGTGTGCATGGAGGTGTGCGCGCAAGAGGTTGTGGTAGTTTTGCTTGTACGGGCAGTTTAATAAAGATTTGCCACGATACCTACATTTTTGCAAAGCTCTCAGGTATGTTTGCTGTGAAGTTTCTGCGGCCTTTGCACAAAGCTTGGTGAGGTGCGCCATTCCTTTCACGAACCTGAAATTTAAAGAGATTGTTTAAATTAGGGGCCAAATGCCCATCCACGTTACTGGATGGATGGTGGAGTATAACCTTCTTTGTATTGTTTCCTGCACTAAAAAAATTAATATACCGCTATGAACTATTTAAAGAAAAAGAGCGAGGTGTTATAACCTCGTGTTCCTGAACGCTTTCAGCTCTGACTGCAAAAAAAGAAGAAAAAAAAGACTTGATCTGGCAGGTGCCAGTTAGGTGTCCCAAACGCCTTCCTAATCCCTGCGTATTTCTGCTTGTTTCAGGAGGAGACGCTGCCTGTGGGCAGAGCAGATGTTGGAGAAGCCGGCCTGGCTGGCCGTCCCTGGAAGCCCCCGCTGCTGGCAAGAACACCCTCCATGGAGGGCCCCCCCAAGAGAGAGGGCAGCTTTGCCCAAAGCAGGCCAAAGGTCTCTCTGCCAGCGGAAGAGCCCGGCTTGGTCTTCAGCCCCAAAGCGAGAACGGCGTCCACGTCGTCCAGTGAAGATGCCTGCCTCAAGACGGTCAGAGCCACCATGTTTGAACATCACGTGGAGAGACACAGTGTGGTGGCCAGCCAGCTTGGCGCCGGACCGGCCTTGCTGTCCCTGAGGGCGACCTTCGGAGGCTCCCCCTCCCAGGGCCAGGAATTTCGGAAGGAGAGAATGCTGGGAGACGGCCAGGCGACCAAAGCCTCCAACCGGGAGGCCGGAGGGCCCGAAGATCCCAGGCCTTCCGCTGAGGACGAAGATCCCTCGAGGGAGGAGGATTCCCTGCTGACGCAAAGGATCGAGCCCAGGTACGAGATCCTGCAGACCGTGGGGGAGACGGTGCAGAGCGAGGCGGTGGCAGCCGTCTCCGGAGGGAAGGCCGTCACTCTCCGCCGCCAGAGACCCTTGAAGGAGAATCGGAGCAAGAGCGAAGGTTGGAGTGGGGCTTCTGGCCTGGGAACCGGCCCCTTGAAGGACCTCCCGGCCTCCGGGAGACAGGCTGGGTTGCACAGCGAAGGAACCGGGCCAGAGAGAAGTCAGGCCGGGCAGCGGGCAGCCTCAGCGTCTTTCAGGGTGAAGGATGGCGGCCGCTTGGCCCCCTGGCTGGAAACCGGGAAGGAGAGGCGGCTCACTCCTGCTGATGTCCTGAGGGAGGGGGCCACAGGGCCCAAGGGCCACACCCTGCAGAGGACTGGAGCCGGGGCGCCCGAGGCCGATGGCTGGGAAGGCAGGGCTGGCGTGCTGGATCAGAGGGCCGGCCGGGGGCAAAGTGCCAGCTGCCCAGGACTCCTCTTCAGCCTGGACCTGAAGCCCCCTCAGGGGGCAGAGGATCCCAAAGGGCAGAAGCTGCGAGCAGCCTGGGAAACGTGGGAGGCCCCGGCGGAAGGAAAGGAGCCGCCAGAGCTCAGCCTGGAAGTGAGGTGGGCGAGCAGCGTCCGTGGTGCTTCGGGTGCCAAAGGTTCAGGCCGCTGGCGAAGGAAGACTCTGCCCCACGCTGGCTCTGTCTGGTTTGAGGGCCCGGGGGAACCCCCCCAGGGTGCTGCCGGACTGGCCAGCAGAAGAGACGCCCTGCATCCGATGGGTGGCTCAGCGGCAAAGGGAAGCCCCCAGGCCCCCCGTGGACTGGAGCCCAGGCAGGCGGAGGTCACCTCTCCCAGCGGCCCCCAGAAGCCGCTCTCTCCTTCGGAGCCCAAGGCCACGTACTTTGCGGTCACCTGCCAGATCTCGGAGGAGATCGATAGCCGGCCTGGGAGAGCTGCGGCTGTGGCTCCTCCTTCCAGAAGTGCCCGTCCCTCCCCTTGCCAGCACACAGAGAGCTTTTCGGAGGGAGGGAGCTCTCCAGCCGGGCCTCTCCAGCCGGGCCTCTCCAAGGGGCGAAGCGGCGCTTCTCGGGATCCACCGACCGAGGCCAGAGACCAGGAGCTGCCGCAGAGACAGCCAGAGGCCTCGGCCGAAGGGCATCCGGCCAGAGCTGACCTGGCCCTCTCTCCTGGGGCCAGGCCTTCTTCCTACTTGGTGCCCCTCCAGCAGCCGAGCCAGCAGAAGAGCCCTGGCTCCCTCGGTCTCGGGGGAGAGCAGCGGGAGGCCCCCGATCACTACAGGTCGAGAGTGGTGGACATTGATGAGCTGATGGCAGAGTACGGGGGAGAGTCCCAGAAGCTTTGGGCCAGAGAGGAGGGCCGGAGGGAGAGCAGCTTCTTTCCTTGGGAGAAATGGACCCCCAGGACCCTTCCCTGCAGCTCGGACCAGAGAGGGGAGAAGGCCAGGGAGGAGCACGCCCTGGGCGGCCAAGGGGCGGGCACTGAGGGACGACGTGTGCGTGGCAGCGTGGATCCATGGGAGGCCAGGGAGGGAACCTGCAGCCCTCCCCAGTGGGGCAAGCCAGACACCGAGAAGCCAAAGCCACGGCCGGCCGAGCCCCCCGGGCCAAGGACGAAGAAGACAGCCTTTCCGGTTGGCAGGGAGCAAGGAGAGGGCACCGGGCAGGGCCCCCAGAGTGCCAAAGGGGCCAGTCCCGGCCCCCACCCTGCCCGTAGGGACCTGGGAGGCTGGTGGAAGGAGGCCGGTCTGAAGCAGTGGGCCGTCCTGGCCCCAGCCGGGGGGTGGTGCCCCAGCAGTGACTTGCCGGCCGGCCAGCCTGGGTGGAAAGCTGAGCCCCAGGCCGGCGTCTGGGGGAAGGGCCCTCCCGCAGCGCAGCAGCCTGGGGCGGAGCGGAGCAGTGCCAGCGCATCCCCAGGGATGGGGGCCGTGCCGGACCTCAATCCTTGCTCCTCTGGAAAGAGCCACCCGAGCCCAGCGAGGCTCAGCTTCCCTTCGGGACCAAGGCTGGATCCAACCCACGCTTGTCAGAGGCTCTGCCTGAGCAAGGGAAGCCTGTCGCCCGGGGACTGCCTCTCCCACGCAGGGACACGGGTACGTGTGGG